CAGGTAGCATATCGTCGGCGAACTCCTCTCGGAGTTGTTCCTCGGACTTCCTGTTCTCTGTCTCAGCCCTAGTCCTGTCTAGCTCCTAGGTCAGAGCTTGACAACTCTCCTCTGAATCGACAGCCCTCTCCTCTGCCGCAGAGAGTCGCTGCATCTGCTCTGTAATCCTCCTCTCAGCGTCGGCCAAAGCAGCACTTAGCTTTTCAGCGCCGACCTTCGCCAATTCGCCGTCCTTGAGGAGTTGCTCAATCTGAGCAGCCTGCCCCACGAGAGTGGAATCCCTGGCAGCTATATCCTCCTTGGCACTGGCCAGGGCTCCCTCGACCTCTTCTTTCTGCTCTTGAACCCGCTGAAAGTCCATCCTAGCTACATGATACTGCGCGGCGATTATGAAAATCTGTTGGGTGGCCTGCAAAGGAAAGGGCTTGTCAATAAAAAGTAACACGGCTAGAAAAGACTGAAGCGAAGATGAACAACGCATTCGTTGATCGCCCCCTATGAGTCACCATGTCGGCCTCGAAGTGTAGCGTTTCACCTACTGCGTTGGCAACATGGGGGTCCTGCAAAATAGAGTCATCAACCCTGATCACTTGGTTCATGTGATTAGTGGCCCGAGGGTTCCACTCTGTGGCTTCCACCGTCTGCGCAGGGGGAGGTGGAGTCTGCCTCTGCTGCTGTTGCTGTTGTTGTCGCCTCTGTTGTTGCTGTTGCTGCTGGGGAGGAAGAGGTAACTTACGGCCTCTCTCGCTTTGCTGCTAAATAGAGGGGGCCCTGGATCCCCTGCCAAGGCCGTCGTGCCTTTGTTTGACCCTTCTCTCCTCCTCTACCTGAGCATCTCGGTCACGCACTTGACCTCGACCAGTGGCTCGTGAAGGTGGGGTGGCGCTGGTCCCTATAGATGGGGCCTCGCTGGTTGACCCACGCCCCATCCCGACAGCGAGAGCTTGCCTTTGCCTCAGGAACCTCAGGTCTATACGAGGCGTGTTCGACATGGCTACCTCGAGGGCGTCCTCCTCGTCTAGGGACTGCAGGATTTGCAAGTCAGGCCACGAGTCTCTCCCCGAAGTCCCCACTTCAGCGTAAGAATGAACAAAAGCCTTCCTGGCCCCGAACTCCTCAACTTCAACAACACCCTCTACTTCGGCCTCTATAGCCCGGTCGCAGTCTTCCTCCAAATTCTCCTCGACTTCTTGTTGCATAGCTTGATCGAAGAGTTCAGACCACCGTGAAGGCTCGAAACTTTTTATATCCGAGAGTGTAGTTCAGAAGAATGTGAGCAGCCCGGCCGAACCCGTCGTCATCAACAAATCTCCAAACAGTGATGAGGTCGGTAAAGTTTACCAAGGACCAAAGTGGAGGAGCTGTTTCCCGAGCGGAGACGTCTACACAAAAAAAAAGGAGAGAGAGTTATGAACACTTCTAAAAAATCTCAAGAATAAAATAATAGACTCGAAGAAGCCGACGTACTTGGCGTTCTCCATTCCAAAGGGCATAATAGACAGTTGTATTCGGGACTGGCACCCCTCTGTCAGGACCCCTTGAAGATCAGTAGGTCATCCTTGTACCCCTTGTCCGAGTCCGGAAGGTAAGTTATGAGGTACATGGATAGGTCCCTGGCTTTGAGGTAGAAGTTTTGCTGAGGCATGACCCTCAAGAGGGAGTAGCAAAAGAGGATATCGTTCAACCCAACATTTACCCCGAGACGCTTGTTGAGCTCTAAGACTCCCATTATTATCCTGAAGACATTGAGGCAACACTGCCCAGGGAAGAGGTGAAAATGAGAGAGGAACTGGAGGCGTAGAGGGGGCAGAGGGAACCTAATTCTGCCCTCTATGATGACTTTGGTATAAAAGGGTATCTCATCCTCGGCCCCAAGGGTACGAGAATGCACAGCCGAGTTATAATCCTCTATGTCTACATATGGGGGGATGCAATACTGGACCCTAAACCTATTAATCTGCTCGCCCCCCTTCACTTTGTACTTCCCTGGCCTCGAGGAACTAGCCTGAGGATTCTCAAGGGCAGAGCGACGCCGGGGCATCTACACAAATGATGAAAATTGAGGAAGAAGGGAGGGGTTTTTCCATGAAGATCCCCGAGGAGGCTTCCCGAGGGTTGGTCACAGAATGGCAACCAGAAACACCTCCAGTTATCGAAAAATCAAAAGAAAATAAAAACAACGAGAAGAAGAAAAGAAAAGACAGAAGGGCGAAGAGAGGGAAGACACAGGGACTCACCAGAACGTAAACGAAAGTTTTTCTTGAAAACTTGAAGTGATTCCTTCCTCTAGGATGTTCAGAAGCAAGGATGGGTCTGCTGGCCTTGAGACTCCTGTGAAAGATTGGGCAGTAAACAACGAAAGAAAAGGGATCTCCGACGAGGTTTCAGGTAATGGCTCTCTAAAGAAGTTCGAAATGGCGAAATGAGAGAGGGAGAGAGGAAGCCCATTTATATAGTACCCATCTCCATCATTTGGGCACGAAGCATGAAGAGGCACATTTAATGCGCACGACCTCCTAAGTAGTGGAAAGCGGCTAGAGGCAATGATAAAGTAGTTGGGGTAGTTGCAGAACCCTTTATCTTCTTACGACGCGTGTTCTCAGTGTCAGGAGATCGAAGGTTGGGAGACAGTTGATGGGACATTTTCAAATACTCCAAGATGAAGACACATGTCCTCGGCATCAATATATTCTTGGTACTGTGATCACAACACGTACTTGTCGGTTCACAAGTCCCTCTCCCCCTGAGGTACTATTCATAGGGATCAATGACACCCAGTACGTTACGTACCAACACGTATCCCTCGGTTGGATATGGGGTACATCGGTCCCTACATGTACCACTCCCTTGGTACCGAGATGTACCCGTTCAGGTTGGCGTTTTCTGCTCCTGCAGAGGCTATTGATGTACAGGTCACTAGCTTAGGCTAGGCTAGGTTAACCATCATGACCTCGTCTTACACAATTGGTGTCAGAAGGCACAAGAAGGCAGAAGGCATAACCAATGGGGAATGGACGCGTGGCATATTGTGTCAGATCAGAGACAAAAAGACAGGGATGCCCTTGTTGACACACGACTTGGGAAAACAAGCATTTAGTGCACCATTCTCTTGATAAGACATCATTTAATGCAGGAAGGCTCGGAAGTGAAAGGTAATAAATGTCCCTATGACTGGGCATTTATTACATCTTTGCCGAGAGAAGCTCATTAAACATTCGGTAGGCCGATGACGAAGCATTGGTTGCTCGGGATCCCGAGCAATTAAGAGAGAAGACATTCTTCATAGGAATCAGTGCGCACGTTGCCCGTATCTAATGATCACTTACAGACCACACTGACAACAATCATGAGTTTTTGAGGTATAAATACTCTTCATAAAAGGCAAGACGGTATACAACAAAAAACCTTTTCTCAAAGAAATACACAGTATTTTTTCCTTCCCCTCTCTCAAAGAACTGACTTGATCATCGGAGGAGATACGCTGAAAAACACTCCGGCGCCCTCCTAACTCATTTTTCTCTGTTCCAGGAACCTCCCTCAGCTTTACTGGACCACTCCGTTGATCCACGAAAGTCCCCCATTACAGTTCTAGGCCACCACCGGACCTCACAGTCTGTTCCAAGCAGTAAGGAACCTCCCTCAGTCTTACTGGACCACTCCGTTGATCCACGAAAGTTACCTATTACCGTTTCAAGCCATCACCAGACCTCACAGTCTGTTCCAAGTAACAAGGTTGACCATTCGATTGACTGACTCGAGTTCATCACGGGAGAGATCTGTTCTCGTGTTTATATTGTGCAAGATCCTGTACGCACATGAATTTTAGTATAATTTATCAAATGTGAGGGAATTTGTCTAATTAAGTGATAGACCTCAGGGGTCTAGGTGTAATTATACCTAAATTAAAGGGTAAATTATAAATTATACCCTAAAAGATCGTTTGAATCTCAATTTGTACCCTCAAAGATCAAAAATTTTAATTTATACTCTCAAAAATAGAAATTTGTATCAATGTACACCCCCAAAAATAAAAAATTTTAATTTTCACCCTCAAAGATAAAAATTTGTATTAATATGAACCTAAAATTAAATTAATAAATTATACATAGATCCTCTTATGTTTGTCATTCAATCTTTTGAACTTCTTTACATTTAGAATATTACTCTTACATCTCATAACGTTTGTGCACGTGTAACACATAACCCATTTTCGTTGATATCTGTTAATATAACCTTCAAAAAATATGATTTTATTCTAATAAAAAATTATAATTTCATATTACCCTTTATTTTTATGGGTCAAATATACTCTAAAGTTCAAAAACAAACTTACCATTTGAATGTCTAATAGAATAAAAAGTTGCACATTGAGTGACATATTGTATTGGATATAAAAATATTATATAAATATTTACATTCTATTAAATATTCAAATGGTAAACTTGATTTTGAACTTTAGAATATATCGGACCCACACAATAAAGGATAATATGAAATTATAATTTTTTATTAGGATAAAATCATTTTTTTTTAACGGTTATATTAATAGATATCAACGAAAAGCGGTTACGTGTTACACGTGCACAAACGTCATAAGATGTAGGAGTAGTATTTTAAATATGAAAGAGTTCAAATGATTAAGTGACAAATATGAGGAGATCTACATATAATTTATTAATTTAATTTTAAGTGCACATTAATACAAATTTCTATACTTGAGGGTGCAAATTGAGATTTTTTATCTTTAGGGATGCACATTGATACAAATTCTAATTTTTGAGAGTATAAATTGAGATTTTTTATCTTTGGAAGTGCACATTGACACAAATTTTTATCTTTGAGGGTGTAAATTAAAATTTTTAATCTTTGAAAACCTAAATTGAGATTTAAATTATCTTTCGAAATATAACTTACGATTAACCCTAAATTAAAAGTAGAGTCGATAAAAATCCCCAATAAGAAAATTATGTTCTAAGGTAAAAACTACTTTAGGAACAATTATTTCCTCTCCAGTTTAAACTGTAAAAGAGTACAAGGGTTTAGCAGAGAGCAGCTGCCATGGAAGAAGAGGCGATTGAAGAACAAGCCGGACAGCCTCTCCGCTTACGAACTCCTCACATCAAGAAAAGGGCTCTCAAAAACAAAGCTTTGTCCGTCTCTTTCAGCGAGAAAGACCTCAAGTAATAACCCATCAAAACTCTCAATCACATGAATGTAGATGTGTGTGTGTGTGTGTGTGTGTGATTTTAATCATAGTCCTAGAATTGACGTTGCCATAATTGTTTAGATTTGATAAAATCTAACGGTAGTTGCCAGTTCAAGTTTTGGGTCATCTATAATTGTTTATGTAATGTGGGCGTACATGGGCTATGTGACTCAGTGACTGGCTTTCACATTATATGTATGTGTGTGTGTATGGTTTATCATAGCCCTAGAATTAATGTTGCCAGTATTGTTGAGATTTGATCAAATCTAATTGTAGTGGCGAGTTCAAGTTCTGGGACATCTGTAATTGTCTGTAATGTGGGTGTACGGGGACTATGTGACTGGCTTTCATAATATATACCCATATGTGTGAGTGTTTTTGTAAATAGGTATAGCCTTGGATTTTACTTTGCCATAATTGTGTAGATTTGACAAAATCAGAAGGTAGTTGCAAGTTCAAGTTTTGGATCATCTGTAATTGTTTTTGTCGTGTGGGTATACAGGGACTATGTGACTGGTTTTCACAAGAGAAAGAAGAAGAGGAGAAAAGAAGCCCAGCAGAAATTAGAGGAGGCAGAACGGCGAAAGCGTATTGAACGGCGCAAAAAGGTCCGATTTGCAAGCTTATAAAGTCCTTCTACTACCTATTGCATTTGCATTGCAATGAGTCTCTGCCTTATGATTGATATTTCCTAGTAATTAAAGTAAGAGTTCCGTAAGATTACCAACTGATTAAGTTATTATCGTTTTTAAGTCGAACAAAATGGGTTTGCTGTAAAATTTCTGATGTCTGACAAATTAGGCTGTAATGAGCATTACTATATATGCCAGCTCAGTGTTGTCACACTTTGTGTTGCACCCCTTTTTTGCGCCTAGCTTGAATTTCCGCTCTTTAGAAAAATATATCTCCAGCACAATGTTATTACACGTCTGTATGTGCTTTTCATATCTGTTATTTCGAGTATGTAATGCAAGGAGAGGTAGCTGGTTGTAGTAATCCAACCACAAATTGGAATGAAATTCATAGAACAACATTTAGAGACCACACATGTATCGGGTGGTTAGAATCAATATTAACTGTCCTCCATGGATGGCTTCACACTAATGGATCTAGTGTCCTTGACATGGTCCAATAACTTCACATGAAAAGTGTCATGTGACTGCTTGGAAATATGCTGCATGAGACGTCTTACCAAACATTCCTCCATTCATTGAGGTTAGTAGTGAACCAAATTTGGGGCCACATTTCTTAAAGTCCTATGAAAAATTGGCATTCCCCTTTTGTCTACTTGAATGACTAAATGTGCACCAAAGCCCACACATCTTCTGATGACTGTTTCCATAATGTTATTATTGTGAGCAAAAAAGAAGAAATAAAAAAAAGTCCACCGGTTTTAATCTCTAGCATCTGGCTGTAATCCTTCAAACAGAATTTTCACTGTTTTGTTTTATTTTTATAAGTTATTCATTTTTGAGAATCGAATTTGTATGCTAGCTAGGTGTGAAATTTTTTTGATAGGTTGTGGTTGTGGCCTCTGGCTGAAATGTTAAAGTAGTCATATTCCAGAAGTGATTTTTGTTTTTTTTTTTGTTTCCATCACTTAGATTTGGACGTTTGGGTATCGGTTACTGGTTGCCAACCCTGAAAGCAACTCCATGGGAATTCTTTGCTTGTCCCCTTAATTAAACAATAGGACATTAGTTGTGGTTGTGGCCACATTCTGTCATATGGCTTAACTTTTTAACCATGCAACTTCTTCTGCAGAGAAAACTGGAAAGAGAACTTGTATATGGTGGAGCTCCAGCAGGCCCAGGTGAAGAACCTGATGAATTTGGGGAAGACCAAGAGCAGGAAGAAGAAAGTGAGCCAATTGCTTCAGTTTCGGGTATTTTCTCGAGCACTGAATCCACCGTATTTGAACATAATATAAACTAGCAGTGAATGGCTCTATTTGTGAAAAACCAGTGTAGTCTATCAAAGTGGGTTGCTAGCACACTTGTCCATAGCTCTTGTACTATTGTTCTCTTTTTCCCTATTATGGATTTTTTTCAGTTCAGTTAGCTGGCTGCCAAAAAAGGCGAGCTCTTTCTTGGATCAATTGTTAGCACTGAACCCTAATTTTGCAATGTTTTAGTGCCACATAATATATTGACAAATCGGACCTGGGGTGTTTGGTTTAAGTTTTGGTAGAATTTCTGGCAGCATGCACACTTATACATGATTTACCTGCAAAATGTTGATATATATACGATATGAATTGGGTTTTCTATTCAAGATATGATGCGCACATATTATTCGGGACATTCCAAAGGAATAGGGGATAGTTGACTCAGTGCCACGGGATTAATAGCGTGTAGATGGGTTGGAATTTTTCAGAATATATTGTTTCCTATAGATTTATCAAAATGCAGATGACTTGGGACTTTCTAACATTCATAGTGGATTTATTTTTTGGTGAAAAGGGACAACAACGTATGACAATGGTGGTGTTAAAGTTACAGTCACAACAACTGTGATTTCTCACGAAGAAGAGTGTTTGACTGAAAAGCTTCCAGCTGCAGCACCCAAGTTCGTTGGAGGGTCCGAAAAGAAGCACAACAACTTACCTGTGAGTAAGAAGAAACCATTCAAGAGAATTGCGAAAAAAAGATCTCGGCCGAAGCCGCAAAATAAGAGAGACAGAAAGAAGGGAAAAAAGAAGAATAAGAAGCAATAGCTATGGCCTCTCTCTCTCCCTCCTCTCTTTTTCTCTCTCTCTGTCTGGCTAGACAAATAGACCCATTGCTGATGCATATGATCATATGAATTATGGCATTGTGATGAGCTGTTATCTAATTATGAGATATTGTGGCATCAATTGTTGTTTTAAGTCGCAAAAGCACAGCTGTAATGTACTTTTTAAGAGTTTATGCATTTGTTTATCTTGGAAAATTTGTTTATTATTTCACATACTTAGCTTCAACACTGCTTTGCAGTCATGACTTTTGATGGCGATATATTTTTATGATGCAGAATCTTCTCTTTATTTCATCTTTTGCCTGTGCTTTAGGCATATTTTAAGGCATCGAGTAGGAAAGTAGACTGTCCAACTCTAAATAGTTCAAGTTTCTTTCTACGAAATGTACTAATGTAAACCGAGCAGCGTTTTGAGAAAATGTACTACTGTTGAACGTTGTTGTACTAGGAAATGAGATTCATCTTATTCAATTGTAAGTTTATTATTGAGCGGTGATGTGGGTGGGGTCATTCTTAGTCCCAATATATACTCATTCAGTTGTTCCCATGATCGTGACAGCTCACCCACATCGTGGCTATTTGATCGGTCACCAACCACAACTGCATGGAGTCTCACAGCACCAAATCTGATTACCATGAAACACACGGAGCACACTATTGTCTACGGTCAACAATTCCACTGTCATTGTAGAACCGCCCAAATTAACGGTCAAATGTCGTAATTGACAATAATTGGTAGTGATAATAATGAAATTTTAGGTATGAGTTGTCCAAATCAAGAGTCGAATAACCTCAGAAGACCTCTACTTACAGAGCGGTCTAAACTGCTCACCTGCAATCTATCCACTCTAAGATTAGAATAGACCGCGCCTAAAGGATGAAACCTGACAATATTTGAAGGCTTGAAGTCTAGCACCAACACCAATCCAGCCCAGCTGGATGTTAGCTCGGGATTAAGGAGCTCGGCCCCCTTGTTGATCTTGAACCGCTCCTGTTGTGTCATGTGTCCAAAGGACAGAGAGACCACTTCTGAAATTCATAACTAACACGCATTCTTTGTCACAGAGAATATTGGTGCGCGTAATCGCTCAAGGGTAGTGGATGCAATGTCGTCATATGACAGAGATCATTACAGGACAAAAGTAGAAAGACCTACAAAATCAGCAAAAAAGAGGAAAAAACTACAAGAAATTCTAGAAGGATTACCCGTATAAATAAGACACTATTATCCTATATAACACACATGATCATCATTTTTCTCATTGACTACACTGTGAACCACATAAAATAAGTTTGAATTCTCTAAGCATTTCTTGCAAAGACTTTAAGTTAAAAGAACCATTATAATAACCTTGTTCAGGCAATATGCATCTCAAAAGAGTAATAGACTTTCTTACAGTGGACGTAGCCTTAATCCTTCGGTTAAGGTGAACTATTTACATAACATCTTTGCCTTTCTCTTGCAGTTTCATCCATTTCCAACTCATATTTTCATTCTATCCCCTCTTTGGGTCAAAGGATTATGGTTCTAGATTTGGGCTAACATTTCTAAGCACCATTAGGTAGTTACCATGGTGGATGGAGGGATGTAGTTCAAGTGGGTTGGATATATTAAGAGCTTCGCTCAATCTTAATCAAAATCTTAGATCCTCAAATCGTGTTTAACTCTAATCTGAATCACATGGAGTGTTGGACCATACGAAGGAGATATGAATTTCAAATCTTTTATAATCTTCCACTAAGAAAGATATCATCACAATAACTTAATTTATTCGGTAAACTCCCCATGATTTAGTAAAAGGAGGGGATATTTTCTCTTCATCCATGATTCATTTCATTCGTTATGAACTCAAAATTGAAAGACAGGGAAGAAAAGTTGGAGCAAATCCACCTAAGTTAAATCGTATTAAATTTAAGTTTTATTATTTATTTACACAATTTAAGTTTAATTGAGTAACCAAAGCCGGTTATTTAATTACGCAACATGAATTAAAATTTACGTACAACTTAAGTTAGATTTGAGTTCTTTCATTTAGCTCGAGTTCACTCTAACTTGAGTGTTGTTCGGATTCAAATTGAATAATATGTTTTTATTCAGTTGTTAAATTTTTTTACTTAATCTATCTAATATTACAATTATGAAATTAAATTCTTAATTTATAAAAATGTAATACCGGTTAAGATTAATTTAATTTTTATTTACTTTGATTGATCTGGTGATAATTTTTATTTGCAAAGGAACCACTGTACAGAGTATAGCGTGTTTCTGACGTCATCTTGACACCTAAGCAAGACCCAGTGAACCTCACGTGGCGAATCTTAAGAAAGAGAAAACTGTCAGTAGTTGTTGGTTGGTTGTTCCTCCGTTCGACGGTTCGATCACATGCGACTCATCATCGTCATCGCGATCGCCGTCGAAGCACAAAGACTTTGGGTAAATTATGTTAAATACCCATTTATCCACATTGATTTCAGTTTCCCCCCAACATTTAATTAAGTATGACAATCTGGGACACAAAATATTGATACGGCTCAAAATATTGCCTGTATGGTTTGGACGTTGTTGTTGTGATAACAATATGAAAGCTTCCCAAGAGTCTGTCTCAATCATAACACTGATGAGGTCCTTCTCATTTAGAAGCTCCGATCCTCTGAAAAAATGGCCTATAATACTGTTATAATACTTGTAGATGTAGTCCAATTGAGCTTTCCATAGAATCCTGCAATCTAGAGGCTTTGTCCATCTCTTATCAATCCTCCCATTCCAGCAATTCCTGGGTTGCCTTTTGAACAACCATCTGTGTTTAATTTCAGCTATCCTGCAGGAGGAAAAGACACCCTATAAGTATGGTGGTTTGGTGCACCTTCTATGGCTTGAAATGCCTCTGTTATCTCTAATGCAAAACTATCAGGCAGTCTTTGCTACCTGTTCAGCTTCTGTAGTACTTCCTATGCATTCCCTGTTCTAGCTTTTCAAATATTCCATATTATGATTATAAAAATAATTTAGATAGTTAGGTAATAAAATGACAACATTAATAATAAAGGGTGAAAAATTAAAATAAAAATAGTTTGGGGGTGTTTGGTGTATTTTATTTTGTACACGCAAGAAGTATAATTGAGGAACACTGTATATGGTATGAGCCAGCCATCAGAATAGAAACTTTTTAACAGTTAGTGCGGAAAGAGGAAAATTCACGGATCCTTCCTCTGAAATTTCTTGGAAACCCCTCGTAACTTTCTTTCCACTTTCAATTTTCCCGCTTTCCATTTCTCTTTCCTTTTTCCCTTTCTCCTCTCCGTTGGAATCTCATTAGTGGAATCTAGAAAACTGAGAGTTTGTTTTTAGATCAGATCTGAATTAGGAGTGTTTGGGAGCTGAGAAAAATGCAGACTAGGTACATGGAGAGATCGAACAGCATGGCAAGGGAAAAGAGGGGGTTGGATCCAAGTAGTAGTGAGGAAGGTCAGCCTGAGAAGAAACGACCTGCTCTTGCCAGGTATTTTCTTCTTTTCTTTGCATTTTATTATATTTTGTTAGCTTTTTTGTAATTGCCTTTTTTTTTTCCTTGTCAATTGAAGTTCTTATTTATAGGTCCGTAAATTTTTGCTGTTTTTATTAAAGTTTTAGTTTGTTTGTATTTATTTTTAGTAATTGAAATTATTGAGCTAATACAGGCATACGCGTGCGTGTGTGAATTTGATGGAAAAGTAAGAGCTGACGAAGCAGTCCTTGTCCTTAGTTGAAAGGATCAAAATTTTATTTTGGTACATAGTTTTGGTCAGCTTGGAAATATTTCGATAATATTTTGGAAACATTTTGAAACAAAGAAAACATTTGAAAATTTGTTTCCAAAACTTGATTGAAACAACCGAAATGTAGGTCGAAACACACCAAAATACCTCAAAACATAAGAATTTTGATCTTCAATCAATGATTCATTTTGGTTTCCATGAAAATGGAAACATGCCGGTTGTTTCGAAATGAAATTTAATTCCTTAGTTGTGCTACTGCATAAACAAGAAGTATGAACCTATGTTATTCAATGAAACTGTTTTTTTTCCCCAATTCATCTCGTTGAAATCAATGAAAGGGCCTTAAAAATTTTGTATTTGCCATTTGGTTTTTGATGGTGTGATTTATGAGAAGTCCTACTAAGAAGTAAGTGTTGAAGAGTGGCATAAAGCATGTAGCGCCCTTGTGCAAATTACACAAAAAATATAGGAAGTTATTTTTGATAATATGAGGAATCTTTGATAATATATATAGGCGAATTTTGTCTGTGATTACAGGTGTTTTGGGGGGGGGGAGGGGAAAGGAGGATGCTGGTGTTAGTGTTGGAGTGGATGTAGGAATAGATGTGGTTACAGGAGAGCTGATGTTGGTTGGATAAGTCTAGGGTTTTGGTATAGCATCTATAATTAGAAAGTTGGGATAAGCTGGAATAGATTTCCTCACTCAGTTAAAAGTGGTGTACCATGTCTTGGCAAACTTGAGAAAGAGAGATGTCACATCACTTTTGTGGCACATCCACCAGTCATGTTTCATGCTGCAAATCAGCATTTGAGGTGGCAGTGTGATTGGCTTTTGGAACCGACTGAGTGGTCCTCCCATGTGGCCAAAAAGCCCATTTGAAGGGGGTAGACAACTGATAACCACGTCCCGAGTCCGAATGCCTGACACTTGAGCGTCAAAGAACCCTTGTCAACGTTAGGCTACAGGACTTTCATATTACATGTTTCTGGGGGCATTACTTTAGTTGATTATATTGGTGATTGCCAAAGTTGGGTGTATTATTGTTATTCATGCACAACATCGTGCTCTTCTGCCCTCATTTTCACTAATAGGCTTGTTGGCATCTCTCCTCTTATTGGCTTGAAAATGCTCAGGAAACTTCGCTGTTTTGTTGTTTTCTATTTAAATGGCTTGTCGTTATTTATGATTCTTCCTGCACCTTACCAAATTCTTTTGAGTTTCAACGTGGGGGAGTTAAAAATGTTCATCTGCCGAAGCTCAGTTCATCTTTGTTGGCATTATTGATTGGTGCATAAGATTGAAGAATACATATTTTATGCAGTGTTATTGTTGAAGCTCTCAAGGTGGATAGTCTGCAGAAGCTTTGCTCGTCACTGGAGCCTATTCTGCGGAGAGTTGTAAGAAACAATGCCTATATGTGGATTCTGTTCTTATATACGTATGATTTCGATCAACTCTATTTGCAACTAGGTTCTCTTGATGTGCTGATTTTCTATTGAACAGGTCAGCGAAGAAGTGGAGCGTGCTTTGGCCAAGTTAGGTCCTGCCAAACTTAATGGGAGGTATGAGATTATCCTGTTAGTTAATCAGATGGTACGAGTAGATGATTTTAGTTTGCCTTCTGTTTGCTCATATATATCAAACCTCTGGTGAATTCTGCTTGCCTTCTTTTTATTTCAGTGTTCAGTGAAGTAACCCATTGATCTTCAATGGGGATAAAATCACAGCAGCACTGCCTTGGTTTTTTTTTTTTTTTTTCGGGGGAGGGGGAGGGTAAAGGGAGCTTTGAACCCTTGACCTCAAGAAAGTAAAGCATTCATAAGGTAAGGAGTACCATTAGACCAAAGGTCCATTGGTTAGCAGCACTGCCTTGTAGCTTTCAATTTGAGAGGCCATTTTTGGCTGGCATAAAGATAGAAATTTCAGGCCAGATTTGAGTTGGCTTGTTTGTTACTCTGCTCTATACATACATTGGGATATTTTTACCAATTAATTCGTTTTAGCTAAATTACGGGCTTCTCTCTTTATGCTGCATGTTTCCTCATTTTTGAGCAATCTGAAACTCTTCCATAGTTCTGGCTTTCATATTCGTCATACTTATTATCCATATACTACCAATAGCTGACATGAATGGTAAGTGAGGAAGGTCCTCTTGGTGTGTGTGTGTGTGTGTGTGTATCCATATACTACCAATAGATGACCTGAATGGTACGTGAGGAAGGTCCTCTTGGTGTGTATATATATATACATATACTACCAATAGCTGACATGAATGGTATGTAAGGAAGGTCCTCTTGGTATATCTGCCTCCATAACTTGGTAGGTTGGGGCATCAGAGTATGTCGTTGTAGTTTATTTTATTTTGAGGTTGCTCAGTGTTTTGAAAAGCTCGCCTAGGCGAGAAGCGAGGCGAGGCGAGCTTATCTCGCCTGGAGGACCCCAGGCGAAGCGAACGTGAGCGAAGCGAGAAAAAAACGCGAAAAAGCGAAAAAGCGAAGAAGAGAAAAAAGCGAAAAAGCGAACGCTTTATTATAAAAAGCGATTCTGCTTCACTTTTTTTTTTTTTTTTTTTTCTGATTATAGGTTAGTAGTCTCTTTTATTTTTTAATCACTATGACTTTTTTTTTAGACTATTGCTGGTCTATTTTATTTTTTTTTTCTAATAAACAATGTTTCGAACAAAACACATTCCTTTTTTTTCCTTGTGTTGCTGAATTCATTTAGAATATTTGTGGGATGTGGGAGTCAGGCGACTACACTGCATGACAATTATGATAAAAAAATAAAGCAGGAGTATCAGAAATGGGGGTAAATAATAAATTCTTCTACAAAGAAGTGTCTCTGATATGTTTTGGTTATACTTTTCTCTTTTCTTATATATATACAAATGGTACCAAAAAGTGGTCTATGCTTATACCATGTTTAATTATTTTAGTACATGTGAAATGTGCCTCTGTTCTTCTTTTTTTTATTCAGTATATAATTACATATGAAATTGTTTACAATTGATTCTGCTCCTGTCATGATCATTGTGCTTCTGTTTTTTTTTTAGCTCATTCTGCTTCTATTTTTTTTTTGTTGATTCTGTTGCAGCTTCGATTTTGCTGTCCTGTGTTGCTTTTGTTTTTTTTTTAATTGTCATTTTGCTTTTTTTTTTTTTTGTTGCTAATTCTGTTGTTGTCCTGATTCTGCTTCTTTTGTTGTCCTACCCTGTCAATATGAAAATGTATACAATTGTTAGTATTTGTTTGAATTTAAATGTTTAAATTATGACTGTTATTAAGATTTGAGATATTATTAGTGTTTTTTTTAATTTAAATGTTTATGGTTTTACTTGCATTTAAATATTTAGTATATATAAAATTAGAACTTAGATTGTTTAGAAGTAATTAAACTAAAATATATATTTTTTTTAACTGTTCGCTTTGCTTCGGTAAAGCGTGTCGCTTCGCTTCTCGCTTCTCGCTTCTCGCCTAGGCGTTAGGAGCCTTGGTCGCTTCGGTTCGCTTTACGCCTTAAATAACACTGAGGTTGCTGTTCCCGATTCCTCATAGGTGTTCCGACACCAATACCCTATTTCAATTTTTTTGTGTCTTAAAATTGTCTTGAAACATATAACAAGTTGAAAATGTATCTATTTTTCTCCTGTTTGTAACTCGCCTTAAATTGTAGTTTTGTTTTGGTTCCCATGCATGTAGGTCTCTTTTTTTAGCATTGGGTTTGTTATCAAGGCAAGGAGAGTGTGCTCTTGCGTGGTGCCGTTTTAAATGACCCTTTTCTAGTTAATGTTGAACAGTTAGTCGTATAATGCAGGGTTTCTCCAAAAAGATTAGTAGGTCCTGATGGAAGAAACTTACAGCTGCACTTCAAGTCCAAGTTGTCCCTCCCTTTGTTTACAGGAGGGAAAGTAGAAGGGGAGCAGGGTGCTGCAATCCATATTGTTTTGCTTGATGCTAGTACAGGCCATGTGGTAACAGCAGGTCCAGAGTCCTCAGTAAAACTAGATGTTCTTGTGCTTGAAGGTGATTTCAACAATGAGGATGATGAGGGCTGGACTCAAGAAGAATTCGAGTCTCGTGTGGTGAAAGAGCGTGAAGGGAAGAGGCCACTTTTGACTGGGGACTTGCAAGTGACATTGAAGGATGGTGTAGGAACACTAGGGGAGCTGACATTTACTGACAATTCTAGCTGGATACGGAGCAGAAAGTTCAGACTTGGTCTGAAGGTTGCCTCTGGTTTTTGTGATGGAATTCGTATTCGTGAGGCGAAAACAGATGCATTCATTGTTAAAGATCACCGAGGAGAATGTGAGTTCATGCTCTGTCAAATATGTGTGCTATATTTCCACTGTCGGTGTGTGTGTTTGTGACATCATTTTTGGCTTCACAGTATACAAGAAGCACTATCCACCTGCATTGAGCGATGAGGTTTGGAGATTGGAGAAGATTGGCAAAGATGGATCATTTCACAAAAGGCTTAATAAAGCTGGAATATATATAGTTGAAGATTTCCTGCGACTGGTGGTGAGAGACTCACAGAGGCTGCGGAATGTAAGAAATTGTATGCTTATTTGTCAACGTACATTCTTCAATTCATACGTGCTTATTTTTATTTTATGTTGATTCTTGTTTTTCTTGTTTTAGATTCTGGGAAGTGGCATGTCAAATAAGATGTGGGATGTTCTTGTAGAGCATTCAAAGACCTGTGTACTAAGTGGGAAACTTTATGTATACTATCCGGAAGATATGAGGAATGTTGGTGTCGTTTTTAACAACATATATGCATTGAGTGGCTTAATTGCCAGTGGACAATATTATTCTGCGGATTCTCTTTCTGACAGCCAGAAGGTTGGTAATCCTGCAGCCTCTTATTTTCCCCTTGTGTATTCGGAGGTGTCAATGGTCTGCATTCCACTATTGGATGCAATTCTATGATATATGAGTCCTAGATAAGGCATCAAAAGCTCACTGTGAATTCATGTTTTGGGTCCAGTTGTTCTATTTGTTTTTGCGCCTTTTCACTTGAGAAATATGTATGAGCACATGTTGATTTCGAGATATTGTGCCAATATCAACCCCATTTTTGATAATATGGACCGCTGGTATGTATATGGCTATGGATAGAATCAGAATTTGTGTAGACAATGCAAGACGTTTGGGAACCATGTCGATTTTTGTTCCTTAAATACTATGAAAGAAGAGCTTGAGTGAACACTAAACAGTTTGGTTTTTGCAGGTTTTTGTAGATACCTTGGTGAAGAAGGCATATGACAATTGGGTACATGTTGTAGAATATGACGGCAAATCTCTTTTAAACTTCAATCAAGTAAAGAGTTCAGGTGCTTCTCAAAGTGATCTTACAATGGGCCCCCACTCTTTTGACTATCAACTTAGTTCACCTAGTCCACCTAGTCTGCCAGTTTCCATTCCTTCAGAGCAGCCTTCTATGAATCCAAGCTTGACTGTTGGAGGTAAAAATATATTTAAATTCAATTAATTTGTCAGAGGGAGGAGGGAAATAGGGAGATATGTTTCACAAATTTCACTTGGATGATTGTCCAACCTCTGCTTTTCTTACATTTTGCTTTTAAAGCTGAATTACAGTATTTTTAGGATAGGAAACAAGGACTATTAAGAAACCTGAAAGTGTACAAAGAAGGGAAAGAGAACTTCAACTGGAAAATGACAAGAAAAAAACTGAAATATTTGAACAAATTATAGGTGAGGCATCAAAAGACCTGTTTTTTTATGCCCAGCTTTCAGGAAAGGTGACATTATAATACTCTTAGATGAAAAAAGGAAGCTATAAGATAAAAACATCAAGTGTGGACCTAGAACCTTTTCCTTCCCTTCTTTTTTTGGGTGTTGTCTTTCTGGATTTCTTGTTTGTCCCCTTTTCCTGTGGGTGAGGGACAGGGGCTACAGAAAGATTAATATATGCCTTGACCATGCGATTTTTTTCCAGCTTGCAACATTTCTAATTTATTGATTCCTATCCCAACAATTTACTTATTTTTTAATAGATTTTCACGATATATCCTAAACGATATGCATTTCGTAATGTACCCATCAATACATCCACATGTTTTGAGGTGCATGTATCCTTTGTGTTGTTTTATCCTGTTTTTGGTATTTTATTCAATGCATATATCCTCATCATAAATGCTCCCTTGCTTACCTGTTAAGTTCCTCATGCAAGGAGATTGAGCTATCCTCATGCTCAAAGCCAAATCTCTTTTACCAGTGATGCTAGGTATTTGTGTATCAGTTCTCGATACAAATGCGATTATACTTTTGTTTGTGTACTGTTGACTTGATTGCTGATAAGTGTAAATTTTCTCCTTCACTAGGGTATGATGATAATGTTGGGACCAGATATCCAGTAGAGTTGCAGAATGTGAATCTCAATGCTCCTATTCAGTTGGATGGCACTTCCTTCTCTCGACATAACGAGTTGATCAGCACTCAGCAAAAAGTCCAGTCTCCTACGAGTGAGAATGTACTGGCCCTTGGTCTGCCACAATCATCCACGCCAAACTTTCATGCTGGTGGCACGTCAAATGCTACTTCTTATAGGGGATTTGAAGATTATTTCCCAGAGGAAGAAATTCGCATGAGGAGTCATGAAATGCTTGAAAATGAAGACATGCAGCATCTTCTTCGAATTTTCAACATGGGAAGCCATGGTCATTCCTCCATTAATGTTACCGAAGATGGCTATCCTTATTCATCAGCATACATGCCCAACATGTCTTCAAACTTTGGTTTTGAAGAGGATCGAGCACGTCCATCAGGTAAAGCTGTTGTTGGCTGGCTGAAACTCAAGGCAGCCTTGAGATGGGGCATCTTCATCAGGAAGAAAGCTGCTGAGAGAAGGGCACAAATCATTGAATTGGATGACTCATAGGTATGGTGTCTAGTCATGGTGATGCTGTTTGCTTTTTCGTATTTAAAGCATTTCTCCTGGTGCTTTATCCCTGCTTGTCTGCTTCATATCCTACTAAAGTTCGAACATAAGCCAAGGTATGCTCGTGGTTGTGACGTACTGGATATGGTCTTTGGGGGATCCTTGAGCATCTGCTGTACTCAAACTCAACCCACGTGGAAGCCTTTTCGATTTTACAATTTCTGTCTGCACAGTGAGATTTCTGACAATATAAACAACTGTCTCGTCGTCATGAGAAGTTTTCTCACCGTAGATGCCTGCAATTATTTGGACAACTGCAGTTTTGGGCTGTTCTAACTGAAGATGCTTTTGGCTGACTTGCATGGCGTCAGAGGAAACCTCTCTAAAAGCTGAAAATAAATGGAATGGTTTGTTCTCTGCTTGGAAACTGAGCACTGCAAGGCAGAAACAGCGGTAGTTTTTCTTTCATAGTGGTTAATATTTTCTACATTACTGTGCTTTTGTTGTAGTGTCGGATGAAATCAAACACAACACTGTTGTTGTATGTTGGTTGTTGTCCTGTAACATTAATGTTGATTAATAACGATTATTATTGTTTTCCGATTAAACCTTACTCCTGCGAAGAAATTCTGGTTGAATTTGTGGCCATTTCTTTATTTTTGAAACGTAACTACAGAGAAGAGTTTTTCCTTGGGAAAATTACATTCAGACCCGTTAAGGTTTGATATTTAATCACTTAGACCCCTAACATTTGAAATATTATACACAAGCCTTTTGAGGTTTACAGGTGCGTATAGATGCTTAATACTTAGGCTCCGGTTGTCCATGTTCATTTGTATATCTGTTAGTATATTATACTTAGATTCTCTAAAGTTTATAAATATTATACGGTTAGACCCCTCAAGTTTAAAATATTGCATTTAAATCCCTGATTAGTTACGGAACTAACATAATCTATTAAACGATCAAATTACTCTAATTAAATATAGAAGATATTATATCGATTACAATTTGATCTTTTGTTTGGTTTTTATAATTTTATTCTAGCAGGCAATATAATTATATGCAAATGAGTGTTAGATTTAATTCTCTTATATAGTATTTGAGTCACTTATTAACTTAGGCATCGAAGAGTCGACCTCCGGAGTTCCCTCTGGTCTCTAACTTCTTTTTAAAGTAATTGAAGACCAACAAAATGATGTGAAAGTCTACCAAATTTTGGAATCAATAGTGCTAATTATAATTTTTTAAGAAAAAATAAATTTTTATTTTTGATTTTATTTCAATAAACGACATAATAGAACAAGAATTTTGATTTATAAAATTTAAAATATGTGATATTTTATCTTTATGTAAACACATTTTTAGTTTAAGTGTAATATTTTAAACTTAAGAAATTTAAGTAGTCAATTTTGGTTGTTTTCCTTTACTTCTCTTTGTACCTACTTTTCTTCAACCAGCTAAAAAAAAGTGTTACATGTCTACAAACTTTAAAAGGTCTAAATATAATTTACTAACAATAACATTGACAACAAATGAATCTATATATAATATTTTAAATATCAATGATCTAAGTGATTAAATAATAAATTTTAAGAAGTCTAAATATAATTTTTCGCTGTTTTCTTTTTTGACTACCTTCCTCGTGTATGTATAGTGCCAAATCCATTTTTCAATAGCATCTAGCATTGCCCTACGATTAGAAATTATAATGCAGATTAGGGTTGGTTCTTATATATGATTTCATACATCATAATTTGGGACAAACTGTTTTCCCAGATGGGCATCAGTAGCTCGTTCAAATAAATCAAATCATTTCGAGCCAAATAAACAATCGATTAGGCTAACCATGAAATATTTAATCGAGACCTGCCAATATCACAGGAAGACAAATGGGAAAAGCAAGAGCATGAAAGGTTTAATGGAATAACAAACTTCATTGTAAGTAATCTATTAAGTTCAAAATCTAAGATCATCCACAGCATGAGACAGTAACAATTACCCAACAAACAAGTACTTGAAAGGCATCCTAATATCAATGGACATTACAGAAAGCTTGGGAGACTATAATTTATTCAACAAATTGTAATATGGCACACTCAATCAATCTCGAAGACTCAGATAGGAAAAAGCCGCTGGATCCTCTTCACCTTGAACAACTTTGTAAATGCAAGATCTTACTTAGTGATGTAATACCAAAATGCTCGTAGTTTAGTTAACCAAAATAAGAAAACAGTCTGCCACGACGCTCAGGTCACATAAAATCATAATCGTCATAACCATCATAGGCATCAACAACCGCATCATCATCTGGCTTATCAACATGTATTTGTTTCTTCTTTGCACCTGTAGAAAAGGAACAATCACTTAGAAACCATAAAACCCAGGTCATCCAAGGTTCCTGATCTGGCAAGTATAGGATAATGACTACTGAGCGCAAAACATGTCTTTTGACTAATCCTGAAAAAATAATTTGGAAATTACAAAACGAGTACATGTGGTACAAAGTGCTTCCCAGAGAGCTCATATTATGATGCATTGTGTTGGCACAAGGTCATCCATGCAATAAAGATTCAATCCACCCAATCCTAAACACCCCTCCCCCAAATAAAAATAAGGGGGCAAATGGTAGACAATGAAAAACACACAAAGACCAGAACATCCTCCAAACCAAATTAAAAAAAAAAAAATAGGCTTTAAAAAATTTCATACCTGTCTTCTTTTTACCAGCATTGGCTTCTTTTTCAGCTTTTATTTTTTCATTTGCAATTGCAGTAACAGAAGATGCAACATCTTTTGCATCTGCTCCTTTCAAAGAAGTCATTGACAATCTCATTACAGCCTTGAGTAATCCAATATAATGGTAGCTTTTCTGCATTTAGAGATAAGGCAATGGCCAAGTCAGAGCTTGACAACACCTCTATCATCAAATAAAATAATCACAAAAAAGCAATTCAACAGACCTCATATGGCAGGAGCTTATGAGAAATGAGCTCCGCATATTCTAAGAAGTCACTTTCTGATTTGGGAATGAAATTATCAAGCGTCTTCTCATCACCTCTCTTGGCAAACAATTCTGTAGTGGACTTATAGTCAGCTTCTTCCACAAGCCTGCAATATGGAAAGGCAAAGCAGTATTAAGCCATTGTGAACCAAGGATAAGCCTAAAAGGCACTAATTATATTAGTGTCAGCTAGAAGCAGATAATAAAGGCTTTTCTTTTGTTGCAAAGCTATCAGTTCTGTCTGCCAAAGACAATAAAAAAAGAGAACGCATGCATACAAAACATTTCCAAATTTCTATATGAAGTGAGGTCAATGTACTGAAGAGTGAATGGGAGCTGGTTATATTCCCATGGAAATGATATGTTTGATTTTATCAATACTCAAATAAAATTACAACAATAACATAAAGTTCACGTATCCAAAATCCAGTGGCACAATCCTAAAAGCCTGTTGAGGGGTAATGCTAACGTACAAAACACGCTTATAAACCCAAGCAACAAAAAAATTCTCAAGCACACTACAACAGCAGGTACAGAACAGCAAAACCTAGGCACAAAAGATGTTACCTTTGTTGGCGAAGTTTTTCTGCTACAGGATCTAGTGGCTCTTCCTTTACTAATTCAACAGCTTTTCCTTTCATTTCGCTAGTTTTTGATGTGGTTTTCTTTGGGGCCTTTTCAGGAGGAGGAACTGCGACAGGTGCCTGATCACATCACATGAAAATAGCAAATGTTATTAACATAAGAAAAAAGAACCATCATGAACATACAGCCTATTCCATGACTATGGTACACAGATATATGAGGAAGTCAGACATTCCACGAAAAATTGTGACACTATCAACCTTTTTTTTCCTTCTCTAATTTGGGTAAAAACGACTCAACTTAAAAAAAAGAGATGTCTGTAATACCATTGAGAATCAGAATATTGATAAAGCAACAAAAAGAAGTTCAGTAGCTTGCCATGTAGATGCATAAATGATTCTGCATATTGCACAAATTAATGTGTACCATATTTGGAGGTGTATACAGAGACACATAAAACTCAAATGCTACCACACCCTCTTTTTGTAACATACAGTGAAATCTATAAGGCTATCATATCAAAATCCCAACCTTTTTAAATTTACATAAACATGCATCGTCAACAGATCTATGAAACATACCTAATAAGGAACATGTTTTACCACATCATATGAAGTAGGACAGATAGTTTTATTGAGCATGCTCACTTATCATAATATTATTAGATCATACATAACTAGTGAACTAGTGCAAAAAAGGCTGCAAACCAAATTCATCTATGCGAATCCTAACATAAAATAGTCATTCCTAAATTATTCTCACAGAGAGTGAACACAACATAAAAAAATTGTCACTAATACCGGAGCAGGCTCATCTTCATCCTCCCAAGATTCCTTCACATCATTTTCATCCACATCTTCATCATCCCATCTACCTTTCGGTTGGTCCTTTTTGAGAATATCTGGAATTGGCTCGTCCTCTGAAAAGTTAACTCACAGCAATTAGTATCTATCAAATACCACACAATACTACAAACAACTGATAAATGTCCTGAAAAATTTAGAACCCAATTAGAGTTCTTCAAAACAAAGACAAAACATAGAGGCTCCACAAAATCATCACTGGCTTTTCCTAAAGTTCAAACCTAGCTTATAGGTGATTGCACACACGGGCTTTTTAGCACTTAATCAGGGGAAAATTTCCTTCTAATTCGTTGAGGGATAATTCCAAAACGGAAGTGGGTGAGAGTGGTAAATGATAGTCTGTAAGAGTTCAAGCAAGGCAAGTAATATATTAGATTTCAGACAGTAACACCTTTTGTGAATCCCAGGGGGATTAATTCTAGCTGAAAATGCAAAAAGAAGTCAAAACATTTTATAACAAAAATAAAAAAAGTGTCAATTCAACAGAATCCCCACAATAAATCACTTCTTCTAGATGTATCCAAAGACAGCAGTTTCTCATAGCTCTTTAGGAATTTGAGGGTGACACTGTAAGTCTTGGACAAACTTTCCGATATATCATAAAGTACTTGCAGAGATCCACCTCTTCCCTCTTCTTTTTATTGATGTGGACATGTATTATGGTATTAAAATAGTATAAAACATACAGTGCAATTCTGATTCTTATTTATCGCTCTCCAGTACATTTAAGGTCCATAAAAAACGTACCATTTGACATGGTTGTGCATATAAGTAATACAATTGACAATCCAATTTCTAAAAACTAAAACAAGGTAGAATTACCCCAGTCCTCCATTGCTTTTTCTCCTCCTTAATTTGACAAGCTTGCAGTTAATATGTATGTGCCTACTAGCAGATAAATTTTAAGCCTGCAGTTGCAGAGACATAGTCATGGAAAAGTTTGGCATTAGAATCATTGACAAAACTTTTGAAAAATATGTCTCAATGGATAACTTCCAAAGGATAAGAAAATGAGTTAGTCGGATAGAATTATCAGCTAAAATAAGTAATACTTCCCACTTCAAATTATTATGTCCGAAATTCCCATGAGAACTCTTTCCTTTTCCAAATCAGAATACACAGGACAAGACATAACCAAATGAGAGAAAGAGAATAAAAAAAAGAAACAGCTATTAAAAAAAACAGCAAAAACCAAGCAGAAAACAATACAGAATCACATTCACTATGAAAACTAGCAAAATTTTGAGAAGGCATCAAGCCTCCAACTGTCCACTCTGCTGATGTTTCCCTTTAGATAGGAAATTCAATTGCACATTACTAGATCACCTTTCTTTAAATGCATACCATAAACACACACATGTCTATATTGCACAACCATACACCTTCCAAATCCATTTGGGATGCGAGAACATACTACTCAAGCTAGCAGCTGGTATTCCTCAACAAATAACTATTCCACATTATCACAAATTGGAGCCCAACAATATTAAAAAATCAAGGAGTCACACTAACTCATTGACACTCTTCCATCAAACCAGATAGAGATGATGCCTAAAGTTTCCAATTGGAATTGACATATAGACCTAAACTAGACAAAAGTTTCTCAAGAAAACTCCCAAGGAAGCACAAAAGAAGGCGAATGACACTGTAAGGTACCAAAAGGGACTAGTTGAGACACAGGCTTTATCAAAACGAGGCACATGTTATACATAAGAAGCAAACAACATATTCATTAGCACAAATCTACAATAAGGAAATATTTAACCTATTAAATATGAGATTCATTACACAAAGTCCTAAGAATTCACGGGTCACAAACAAGCAAGTATGAACAATTAGGGGAAACTAAGCAGGTAAACAGTCCAAAGGACCAAGCAAATTACACAACTGAGAATTTCAACAAATTAAGTAGTCACACAATTAAAAACCAGACAGTTTATAACCAGCAATTAGAACAACAAAGTTGATGAAAAAAAGAATAAAGAGAACAAATCAGAGGAAAAATCAAAATATACCCAAGTAGGCAAGTCCAGTTTATAAGATACCCACAAATCAAAAAGAAAGAGGAGCGCAAAGCAAAATCAGAAGAAAAAAAAAAACAAAAAGAATACTCCTCAACCCATCCCATCGTTTCTTTCCAAAATCAAATCAAAAAGAGAGGAAGGAAGACAGAAGGTTTCTAGTCGTTGTACAGAAGACGACAACCGGCACTCCCCCGCCGGAAAACAAAAAGAGAGAGAGAGATAAAGAAAGGGAGAAGACTCACCTGATCGATTTGGACAGTCTGAGAATCGTCCTTCTTTTTCTGCGACAGACACTCTCTCTCTCTCTCTGCAGGTTTTTTGTCGTCGAAACCAGGTAGGGTTAGAGTCGAGAGAACAGTGATTTTATAGTTGGGATTTGTTATGGTTTATGTGCTATTCACTACTTTGATACCAATTCAACCAATCCAACGGTCCAGATTAGATCATCCAAGAAAAAATTGCCCAATGTTTCGTATCTACCCTTCGGCCCAGTCCATAAGGCCAACGTCGGTTCAAGTCATTTCCTAAATCGTGTGTGGACCCACTCATCTAATGTTTCATATACAATCCTTGTATTATATTTATTTGTCAATTTTTTTTTTGTATTAGTTATATTTTATAATTTTAATATTTGTTTGGTTACGGTATTAAAAAATGGATTATAAAATCATAATAGATTAAAACTCTCTAATCTAACCTTATACAACATTTAGTTGCAAAAAATACATTATATATATATATATAGTCTCATTTTAAATTCTTATTCAAATAATACATTACTTATTCAAATAATATACTATATTTGTTCTATTTAATCGATTATAATATCATATGGGGGGTGGTATTATAGTCCAATTCAAACGTATTAAGTTGTAAATTTATTATTTTTTTCAATAGATAAATAAAAATATTAATAACTATATAAGATTGATGGTTTTTTAGTTAATATGTAATTATTATTCTATTATCCCATTCTTCATCCTTGTCTTATCAAACACTGGATTATAATACATAATATTTTTGTCTTATATTTAATCTTTTATTTTATCCACTTATACAAAATTAGTATGTATTACCTAATACACCTCATTCTTTTACAATACGGTAATTAAATGAGCCATATATTCGTACTATTAAGTCAATTTTAATACTATTTAGATAGATGATAATGTTATAGTTAAGTTGAACTGCATTAAGTTGTAAATTTATTTTTTATCCACTAAATAAAGAAATAAAGGATAATTTAAATTAATAAAATAAGTAAAAGTCTTTGAAAAAGGTTCATGAATCATACCACAATTATTTTTTTTTCAACGGTTAAATGTGTCAGAGTTAACTTACACGTACTTTAATTAATATTTCGTAAGAATAATGATATGCATGAGAAATAAATTCTTTATGATCTGACTTTAAAGTTGGATTGATCCACTACTTACCGGCCTATTATAGCCTAAAGCCAAGTTGGTAGGGCCATCGATTGCCCTTATTCGCACTTCGACTTTGATAAGTTGGACTATACTAGATTGATGACTCGATGATCAACATGTAATTAGAAATATGAGAAAAGTGCCAACAATATAACCTATGTTATGTCTCTGGCATCATTATAGATATAGTGGTAATTATTACTTGATCTTGATTGTTAACATGCTTCTTCCCAGACTTTGCTTTAGGAATTACTTAAATAATCATTGAAATGATGCTATCATTTCAACGTACAACAATACAACGGCAACTATCATTGGCTCCCTAAAATGGTTTAATTTAATCAAAATGCCTAAGGGTCGGTACTTGTTATTTGTCCGAAATATTGTGTCAAATGTTACAACATCTCCAAAGTGGTCATACTCTATAATCATTCTTGAGTAAGCCCAAAAAATATTTGTGATGCATTCTCAACATCCAATTGGACTCTATAATAAAAGGATGGGTTCTTCGTCGTTTCTGCTTGGAAATATTGCAAAAAATTATTCGGTTCACTATATATATTTCAAGTCTCGTTGTCTCGTTTCATGAACGTAATTTTTTTGATTTTGAGGAGTGAACCCTATTCTTTCTGTTCCACCCGCTTGGATACTTATAACCTTGTATGACGCCTTAAGGATATCCCACAATTTTTAACCATAACAACATTGATGCCTTAAGCTTCAATAACCTTTTATTGGGATGACATCACATAAATTCATTCGGCAAGGTGCAAAATATGATTGTGTTTGTCTTTTCATTTGACTATAACAAATTTTAAATATCTCTCTCTTAACGGATACGCACATATGAACTGGACCTATTTGTCGAGGCTTGCATGTGTTTCAATTCCTTTTGATATTTATTTCTTTGTCCTTCTTTACGATTTACATATTTTTTATAAATTAATACACCATCTTTCAAACTCTTACTATGATTAACTTGTCTCACACTGAATCCCACAGTTTCGCCATAATTATTATAAAACATATAAGCATCTTCTTTTGAGTCAATTGTATCCTAATGTGTGGAGTATTATCTGTAGAATCAATCTCAACATATTCTATTTTCACCATAGAGGTTCCCTAAAATGACAAGACAATTATAACAATTAAACATAAATACCAACAAACTTAATAAATAATTTTCAATTGCGAATGGAACAAGTAATGCATACAACAACTGCCCACATGACTCAGTTTCACCAAAATCCCATGTCATACAGAAATTCCCACATGACAAACAACAAAAGATAGTCACAAAACAGTAGCACAAGAAGGATGCTATAACAAAATTAATCTTCATGCAATAAAAATGATATAAAAAAAGGATAATTATACCCAAATCTCGTGTAGTTTATCACTTAATTATTTAGACCCTAATATTTGAAATATTACATACAAACTCTCTGAGGTTTGTACGCGCATAACATTTACATCCCTACCGTTAATTTCCATTAGTATATTCATTACACATAAAATGACTAAAAACAATATAGCAATTACCAAAAAATAATATGTTATTAATTTTTTTAAAGAAAGGGTAATAAAAATTTATTAATTTAAAACAATAATCCAATCGCATAGGCGTATTACAAGTTTTCTTGTTGTAGCTCCTTAACTATCCACAACAATCACATCAGATTTGCCTAAAAAGTTTCTCCCTTGATTTTATTTTACATTTTTTGGATCGACAAGACTGGTTCTTAGTTGATGGTGTCAGTCAAAATCTTAGCTTCGTTCACGGAAAAATTTGGACGACCAAGAGTCAGGATTGAGAATATAAATTGAGCATGCGATATCTTTTACATGCTCATATGATAATAATAATCTATAAATTCGTTGATATTTTTCTTATTCTTATGTATCACTGTTACAATATTAGAACAAAAAAATCCATTAATCTGCTATTGAAAATATAAGCACGTGCCATTGAAACACATGACCGCGTGCCATTGAAACATCAAATAATAAAACAATGTAGATATTTTTAAACATAAAACTTTGCTCTGATTTTTTAACAACTACAGATGTACAGTTCCAACTTAAAATTGGTACAACAATTAAAACTAATATCTGAAAAATATACAATACATTTGTGTCTCCATAAAATATATGAATTGATAAATTAAAAAAAAATAATTTGGCAAAAAAAATCTATACAAAAAAATAGTTTCACCTATGATAATCCTCAAATACGTCACAAAAATACCAAAAATCATTGGAGTTGGATTATTAATCTACAACCCAGATTCTTAATTACACAAAATCCAAAAAAAAAACTTTAACTTTAAAAATCAATTTTGTTTGGTTGGAAAAAAAACAATGGGCATTTAAAAAAAATAGAATTATTAAACACTTATCCGTTGGGCGGTGATGATGATCAGAAATTTGAATTTGTATTTTATAAAAATCCTCAATTGATTAAGAAAATCGACTTCCGAATAATACCAAAAACTAGAGAAGAATTCCTTTAGTTCTCTGTCGAAATTAAAAGTACACAATTGGATAGAGAAAACTGGGCATTGAAGGCAATGGTTGAAGAAGATACTACTGTTCAAAATTCAAATGAATGATAACATTTAATTAAATCTTTATATCTTCAATTCGAAAATAAACTGTCAACCAATTATGCATTATTTAAAAAAGGATAAATAAGTAATATAAATAAAAGGTAAACTGAATTGTGTACCTAATAACAAAAATATTAAGTAAAAGTGAAATTAATAGAGTAAAAAATTTATCAATTAACTTTCTTTTAAATAGGTCTTAAAAAATGTATTTATACACAATTTTCCCTTACTAAAATTTTTCTCATCGGCCATTGGTTTTTGAAAAATTGTGGGGTCAATTTCATACAATTGAAGAAAGTTCTTGCCTCCGCCCTCAACAAATATGAGGCATGGTCCACAGGTCCCACATAAGCTATCGGGTCGCAGTGTTGTTTTCTACAAAAAATTATGGATAAGTACCACATAAACTATTTGTCTGTGGGAATACATTGTTGAAAATTTAATACACATAAGTACTATTAGTTAAAAATGTATTGTGTCTAGATATATATAACAGTTTTTTAAAATTTTCTTTTACTGAAATACCCTTTTCCACAATTCATAGACTGCTTAAATTGACAGTTCCTTTTTTATGGGATTTGTTTTATTAAATAAGTGGGTTCCTATTTTAGAAGATCTTTATTTCTTGAATTTTAAATGTATATCATTTGTTTCTACTTCAACGACTAGTGTTATACTTCAATGTCTGATTTTCTGTTTCAACGTGTGGTGCTCGTCTTCTACTTTAATGTCTGCGGTTTTTACTTATAGGTTGTGTATCTTTTCTTCTTTAACGTCTGTTATTTCCATATACAGGTCGTGTTTTTCCTTTACTTCAACGACTTGTTAACACCATTTTTATTTTTGAAATGGGTAGAATATAATGTCAACAACCTTTTTTTTTCTTATTTGATGCAAAATATGACAATTTTTTTTAATGTTAATCAACGATGATGCCTTCTGTTAGTGTTTAGTGTATTATTACATTGTGACACAATGTTTGTTACGGTGTGATAAGTAGTGTTTGATATAACAAACTCATCATTTTTATGTTATATTGCGATGTCACACTGTGTTAAATATATTATTTAGTTTATCAAACAATTAGGTAATGTAAATGCACATTACTTATCACATTGTGACAAATAGAATAATGTTCATCGTGTGATAAATAGAATATTGTCAATGTGATGTTACACTGTATTCTTGAAACTGGTTTTTTCAAAACCCTCCTTTTTTCGAGATGATGAAATAGGTAGAGATGATTATTTGAATTTTAAATCTTTTCTTAATGCTCCTTTTTTTTGGGGGGGGGGAGGGGAGGGGGAGTAAATGCTCTCTTTGAAGATTAAATTTTGAAAGAAAGATCATTTCCTTGATTCTAATAATATTTGGTTAAATTTTAAAAATTAATTTTTAAATAATTCTTTTGTTCTCATATTTCTCGGTTGTTTGTGTTTTTGATTTGATTGAAATCTAATTAATTTTATAATATTTTTTATTTGAATTTCAAACACTTTTTTTGGCGATCTCTTGGTGGCCGAATTTCATAAGAATGATGCTCGGAGAGCAAACACTTTTTTCTCTTAGACCATGCACTAGGTACAAACTTTACCTATATTTTTGGTATGATTGCATGTTGAGCAGTGTTATCAGAATCGGATCAGACTGGTCGGTCCGACCAGTTGAACCGTGAACTTACATCTAAAATGATCTAGTTCTTTAGACCGCTTAAGAAATTAACCCGTCAAAAATCGTAAAATCGGCCGATTTTGGACAAAAATCGTGAATCCGACGGATTTTGTAAATAAACCGGGCGGTTGGGAATTTTGCTTTAAATTTGTAAATTAATTTGCAGTTCAAGCATTCAAGCTGTTCAGCGACCAAATCAGGCGATGAACAGCAACTCAGGCGACCTCTTTGCTCGAAGCTTAGGTGACCTCCACTCCGCAACTCAAGCGACCTTCTCCGTTTGATCTCTCGTACTTCGAGATCGAACAGCCTTAAAGGCATAGTTTTAGAAGGAGGAGAGAGACAGAGGAAGGGAGAGAAGGGGGTGATATGTCTTTGGTAGAGTTTCAGAGGGAGAGGGGGATAGAGAAATGTCTCAAAGGGAGTGAGAAACAGAGAGGCGGTGGAGTGGAGTGGAGTTCAAGAGAAAAGTAGAGATCTTTGGAATTTGGATTGCCTAGGTCAAGTTAAAAATAATCCAAACTGTTCATTTTGGTTGGGTGGGAAATGAATGGATGGCTAAAATTACAAGATTAAAAGTATAACTTGAAAATTGAAATAAACGTAAATTAAAATGTTAATTTTATAGTAAATTCCATGCATTATGAACATATTCTTTTTAAAGTTAAATTATTATGAATTATAATTTTTTTATTATACAATCGGTCCGACCAATTAATTTAACGATTAAACTAGTGAACCCATGACCAATCTCTCTATCAATTCGATGTCCGGTCCGATTTTGGTTGAGTTAAGAACTAAGATGGAAAATTGTAGGGGCCAAACAACCTCCAAATCCTTGTTGATTTCCAGATCATGAATTGATAAAAAGAGGTCTTTGGTGGGAAGTTGAGTTTGTAACTGCTCCAATCTCTTACTTTACATGCATGCATAAACACAGAACCAAAAGACCTAAGATTGCTAGTAGTCTTTGAATTCTATCACTTATTACAATACCAGGGAGTTGTTTCCAAAACTATGTAAAGAGGCGCAGAGGTTTTAGGTTCAACACTTTTCAGAAGTCAACTATCATTGTTTCTTATGGGTATGTTCTAAACCCGCTTGGACAATTTGAGCTCGAGAGGAGTAGTTGACGCAAGTTTAAACATCTGTAGCAGAAAAAAAAGAGGGATAAAACATTTATTAATCTTGCAGAGTTTTGCAAGTAGAACCATACAGTAGGATGTAACTCGTTTAGGTTGAGCGGGTTCAAAAATCTACTAGGAACAAACTAAGTTATAATATTTTCAATTCAAACCCTTCAACTAGAGTACTATACATGCTTAAATAAATTCTACCGTTATCTTTTAGATTGAAATCAAGTTCAAATTCGGGTTAGTGTCGGTTTACACAACTTAAACTGAAAATTGATTTAAATCAATTTTAATAATCTGATTAGGTCCAAAAAAACCATCGTTCCCAATTTGACGAAATTTAAATCAAATTGATATATATATATATATTTTTTTTGAATTGAAGTGGAACCATGCATTGGACCATTGGTAATTGCTTTTTGAGAAATATTAGTCTTTTGGTGGAAGAATTTTATGGTCCTTGTGAAGCTACATTTCGAATAAAGTATACTTTGGTTTAATCAAAATGAATAATAATCCCACGTGATAGCCTTTTTGTGACACATTCTGAACTTTGCAGCTTTGAAAAGCCATAGAGGGGACAATTTTTTTTTGTGATAATATTACTCCATCATTACCTCCACTTTCTCCTTGGAAAACTATGTAATATGATCCATTATTGTAGGAAATCCTCTCATAGCTCCAGATCCCTATAATTCCTCTACACTAAGTCATACATGATTGAGCCTAGTTGGAGCATGCTAACAAAGTAGTGGATGAGAAAACAAATATCATGTAAACCAAAAAAATAAAACATGTATGATATGAATCAGAAGGATTAAATATATACAACTTTAATTTCAAATATAAAAATATTGTTTTCATTCGAATGAAATCTCTCATTTATGTGCCGGGCAAGTTTCTAAACTAGGGATAAAGGAGTAGACGAGCCAATCTTTTCTGGTTTTCTTCTATAATAAAAGCTTTTTTTTTTTGGCTGAGCTTCACTAAAAATGCAAGGTCCTAGAAATTGGCCTCGTTCCGGTTTCTTCCCAGTAATATATTGTGAGTTTGAGTTTTAGAAATAATCTCTTCGTAACTTACCTCCCGAACCAGCTATAGGCAGGGGTTGTGAATTGAGTAAGATTATTTATTTATTTCCTATTCAAGGACCTCAAAATTGGGTCTCACAATAAATTGAGATCTGCCTAGAAGTTTGAAGTCCAGATAAAGCAAAAGCAAAGCAAAGCAATCTTCATGTATGAAGCCTTTGCTCTCTCCCCACAAACAAGCCAAGTTACTGCCTTTCAAGGCTTTGAATACCCCCCCCCCTCCTGAATCTCTGTATCCACCATTGACACATGAACTTATCTTCTGTATTTATGCTCTCTGTACAAGATTAATTATGCAAGTACTCAAAAAGGTCTCAAACTGACTGTCTCACTGTAATCGGCAGCTATGTTTTCAACACAGACTAGAAGCTCACTCGAGCTCATGCTGGAAAAAATCCAGGAAATGGAGGATCAGCCACAGGACAGGCCACCATCATTGCCAGTTCGTCCAATATCGAAGGCTCGATTACCACTGGGAAGAAGAAGGTCATTGCCAATGAACTTCCAAAAGACTGATTCCGAAGAAACTGAGGATGAAAATATGAATCCAAGTTCTAGATGGGGCGTGTTAAGCAAACGAACAATGAGAGAGGCTTTCGTTGAATCAACTTATAATCAAGTGTCAGCGGAAAGTGATGATGCAGGATCATCTGCTATTGTCACATTGCCTGATGAATGTGAGTGCTGTTATAATATTGATTTTGTTCTGCAGAAGGTAAATAGTGTTTTCAGTCTGTATGCTGTTGTGAATGGTTTTTCACTACTTTATAGTTTGCACATTGTGGTTTGAATGCAACTTCTTTAGGAACATCCATACATATTTGCTTTCCTAGACAAGAACTAAGCTGCTTGAAATTTATTTTTTTTATGTATGACACAAGGTAAGAGGTCAAATAACTCTTCATCCAAAGCAATACATTATGGGTTTGAATATAGAATTTGAAAATGGGGTAGAAATTGCTTACCACTTGCTTCTTCCAGACCCCGACTACTTTGTATATTACATAAAATGGAAAAGGAAAATGCAGCCTTACTTACTAAAGGAACAGCATTAGGCTTCTTTTTTTTTCTTTGAAAGTAGCATTGGGCTCCTTCAAAAGGGTGCTATTAGGCTTGTATTTGTGACTGATTGCTCCTTCTTTGCCCCCCCCCTGTGAGGGTGGGATTTGGGTGAGTCATACATCATTAAATCATCTCTTTAGAGTGTTGTTGCTCTTATTTCCATAACATCTTACACCTGAAATAGCTAAGATAGGCAGGCAACACTAAAGGATTATTCTGATGAGCAATCGACGCCCACTGAATGGGCCTCAAGTTCATGTATGCACACAAAACACTCAGTTGATGATATGGGAACGAATACATCAAACTTCGGTGTTAATGTGCCTACAAAATTAACAACAATGGCTTCTGGATGAGGCGTTTCCCTTTCTTAAATGTATTGAAATTCTTATCTGACCCGAATTTTCATATTCATTTGGAATGCTTATTTCTTTTGTTAGAATCCGTTGTTAGCTGCAAGCCACAGAGGTGGGAGGCTCGTGCACTGAATTTCCTTTTTATTAGAAGAAAAAATACTACGAGGCATAACCACCAAGCCCGCAGCTGCTTTCATGAGCTTAAAAGAGGAATAATTACACTGCAATCATGTCTACATGTTATTCCTTTTTTATCTGCATAGATTCTCCTTTATGGTTTTCAGATGATGTTCACCACCTGCTGCTTGCTTGTCTAGTGGCATATTATAGAAGAAAAATCATCAACCATAGTTGTTTTGGGACCGCAAACTTTTGATTAGATGCTAATCCTTGAAAATTATAAAGTCAAGCAGAGGAAATTTATGCACTCAATGAGTAATATTCCGATTTCTTTACTTTTCTAATGCTTCATAAACTCTCCTGAAAATTATATGCCCTATTCGTTGTGCGTGATGAAAATACAAGAAAGGATTATCAAGCTGTCTTGACAGACATCGTCGTTATACAAAAGTACATGAAAAATCAGATTGCTTGCAGAACATTGCCAAAACAGCAGAAAGCAGTAGTATGTTTGCAATCTTGTAAAAGTTGGAGAATTCAGTACTGCCTGCATAACCATAAACTGTGCTCTCATTTTCTGGGCTTCAAATCTGCAGCTGCTTGTGGTCGGTTGACTCGAAGACATTTTGATTGCATGAAAAATAAGCAGAAGCCAAGCATCAAGAACACAAAAGACATGAGTGATCAGGATTTGAATAATCCAATGACTAAGGTACATTTCATTAGACTTCTCACTAGTCCCTACTTTTTTTTCCATAATGATTATGGTTGTTCAAATATTGCTATAGTTTTTGTTGCCCCACTCTTTGCCAATCAGCACATGTATAAAAATCCAGAGCAATTCTAGAGCCAAGCATAACAAAACTCCTATAGGCATGCATGTGCTATGGTTGTCATCACAGTAATAGATGCTCTTGTGTTTTATGGGTGTCTGTACTCGGCCCGCTTTGAATAATTCCCTCTTTCTCTTAGCTTTGGCTACTGAATTTATGAACAGAGGAGAGAGCCTTAAGCCGCAAAGAGAACTATTTTTCGGTCTTTTGGGTGGTTTCATGTTCTATTTCACTTCCCGATGGGGTTCTTTTCACCCTTCCCTCACGTGCCGACAACAAACCAAAAAAAAGGAAAAATGCTAAGTTTCTTCCATTGGTAATGCATGGAGTCTGATTTTCCAAGGAAGGAAGAAGACGATGAGATACATAACCCCGGTTTTTTTCATCAGGATCATGTTCTAATCCCATTTAAAGATCTAGTTGAGCTTCAAAGGCGAGTTCTAAGGGTAGAGGCAGCATTGAGGAAAAAGGAAGAGGAAAATGCCGCTTTGAGGCTTGAACTTCAAAAATTTGAACAAAAATGGTCACAACACGAGGCGAAGATGAAATCCATGGAGGAGATGTGGCAAGACCAGTTTACGTCTATACAAGTGAGTTCTTCTCTCTCCCCATCTTCCTTGTGCCATTTACTATGGTATGCCCAGGAATTGATAGCTTGGGCATTCAGGGAGTCACCGTATATCATATAACTAGTTATTGTTTGTGCTTGAAGACACATAGTAACAAAAAATAATAAATAATAAACAAAGAGAAAAGATAAAGATATTTAAGCATTTATTTATAGTGGAGGTAAAGAGGTGGTGAGCGACGGTGGTGGTGGTAGGAGACGGCGATGGTTGTGATAGGTAACAATAATCGTAGTGGCGGCGAAGGTGACAGCAATGGTGGTGGTGGTAGAGGGGGTGGTAGTGGTGGAGGTGATGGCGGTGGTGGGACAGCAGTGGCGGTGGCAAGCGTGGCTGTGAGAGCGGCGGCGGTGATGGCTGGGTGATGGGGGTGGTGATGGCGGCGATAGTGGTGGTGGTGATAGTTGTGGGGGTGGTGATGGTAAAGGCAGCGGTGAGACGATTTTAAACATTATTTTTTTTAAAAAATTTATGAAAAATAATATCTAAAAGTATTTTTAAAAAATTACTCCAAATACACCTTTAAGCCTTATTTTTCTTTAGGGTGTTAATATTAGTCGTTAGATTAATTTTAAAGTAATATTTAAAGCGATTTTAACTGTGAATAACAAAAATTATTTTGTTTATCTTTTCAAATTTAAATTATAAATTACTTTATTAAATAGATAGATCAAATTTTATCTAGCAAATTTTTAATTTAAATACTGATGTATGCATTGAAAGGCCTGTATTGCTTTATGTTCTAGGTGAAGCAAAATTTCATCAACCCCCCAATTTGGGTTTTGGTGCATGGCTCTCCAAAGATAATTAAGTTTTGAGCAATGTTACATGGATTTAAAAAGTAAACTTAAAAACTAAATTTGATAATCTCAACTATTGATTTCACTGTGAGTCCCAATATTTATTGGGCTCACTAGTTATTCAGTGGTTGAGATTATCAAATCTAATTTTTAAATTCATCTAGCATTACTCTTAAGTTTTTCATAGTGAACTAAGAGTCGCATGCCAATGATTTTACAGATGAATCTAGCAGCAGCCAAGAATGGTCTTGCTGCCGAAAGCAGGATAGGTCAAGTTAGAAAGGTTCATGTTTCCCCAGAGCACCATAATCACAATGCTGATAATACATTATCTATGGGATCACAAGGCGCCGGGGAAAGGTGTCCAGTGAACTTTTCTGACTTGCCCCACAGCAATGGCAGATTAAATTCGATCAGTCACCTAATTCTGCAGCATAAAAACGCGTTGGATGGTACGAATTTAGGAGCAAATTCAGAACAGATAGCTTCCACCATGGGTACTAATGATGAGCTTCAACATCTGAAGCTCAGGTTTAAAGCATGGAAAAAGGACTACAAGTTTCGTTTGCGAGAGACAAAGGCAACTCTTCAAAAGCTTAGCCACTCAGAAACAGAGAAGGGTCGAAAGAAATGGTGGGGAAGCTGAACATAAGACAGGCATTAGATTTTGAGCTATTTTTAGCCTTCTGGTTGCCCTCCACACAAATGGAAGCACAAGTATTGAAACAACCCCAAGTGCATATAGAATTGATTTTTTGAGCAAGTTTGAAGACCTATGTTATTGTTATCTGTGGTGGACACTGCTGTTCTTTATGCCAATCCTTCTGTAAATGATAATACCATTTGAATGTAAAGAAGAGAAGAAGTTGATTTTGGGTATTTGTTTCTCAGTTACCTAATGTCAAACATCAAGCCCCAGATTTTTGAGAAAATAGGAGGGAAACATGTTGCATTTTCTCGATCAAAACTTCATTTCGATGCTTACTATAGATCAGGGTAGACAAGTAAAGGTTTAAGAATTGCTTTAGAAATGGAAAAAAAAGTTCAGAATTTTGATTTATGATAACATTAATGGTATTGATATTAAAAATTATAATTTTTAAGGTTAAATTATAATTTTAAAAGATATGATTTATCATCGAATGCTAATATAAGTCAAGACCTCTTTTAAATAGTTATTATAAAAGGCGGTACGGATCATTTCGATACAATTGGCGCTGTTGACACTTGTTTTTGACTATAAAACCATCCTGTAAAAACTGAAAAAAAAGAAAAAGAGCCGTCAGCCGCCTATTTAGAACCACACTCTCTCCTTCCCACACGTATATCTTCATTAAATCTCGACCGTTCATATATTCCCAGATCTAATCACTAACACGTGTCCATATCATAACGGATGAAGGAGATACAGTAGACACATGTCATCACCTGAGAGAGCAAAGACCAAAGAAACGTCTGAGCACAAGAAACGTGTAACATACGGAACCAGACAAGTCGACTTTGACCGACCACATCGTCCACGTCATTTGAACCACCCACGTTGTTTCCTCCAACATCTACCTTTACGACACGTGTATTTACTCAAACGGCTAGTTTTTATCGGATCTATATATTTTCCCCCAAGGATCTTTTTATCCGAAACTTCGAGTTCATTCCACCAAATACCAGATTTCCCTCCCTTCGCCTAGATTTCTATCTCCTAAATTTATTTTAAAAATTAAATCTAACACCCCTATATAAGAACTTGACTTCTATAAGAAGTGTGTAGACAGTTAGTTTCCTTCTTCAGAACAACCGTTTCATCAATCTCAATTTACAGTCTGCTACAAATTAGGGTTTTTTCTGCACAGAAGGTCTCTCTCTCTCTCTCTCTCTCTCTCTCTCTCTATATATATATATATATATATATATATATATATATATATATATTTACCCATATCAAGAGATTGTAAATGTGCATGGTTGATGGTGATTGAGTAGAGATTGACTGATAGATAGAGTTGGGATTGGTATTGCTTAATGGGGTTTCATTTCTCTGTTTAATTTAGTTAATTTCAGATAATGTTTTGGTTTTGTTTTGGATAATTCTGATTAGTTTTACTGTCTTTGTTGTGGGTTTTGATGGAAAAATCAGATCTTTGGAAGTGTGAAGAGAAAATGGCAGTGGGGAAGAAATATGGGTCCTATGGAGGAAGAGGGTTAGGGTTAGTTAGGTGTACTTCATTTGGTAGAAAAAGGGTTGCTTTGTTCAATGATGTAGATAGTGATTCCACTTTTGCAACTCCCACGAAGAAACAGTGCTGTGAGAACTCGTTTTTGTCTTCTGAGAAGTCCCTTCTTGAAGCTCTGCCTCAGGACGTTCTGGTTAGTAGCATAATTATAAACCCAATAATTTGTTTAGTTTTCTGAATATATGATTGGTTGTTTGCACATATATATGTATATGTATTGGCAAATATGATTGATCAGCATTGGTTTTAAAATTCGCAGATTAGGGTACTGTGTGGGGTGGAACATGAGGATTTGAAGAGGCTGTTTCATGTATCAAAGTTCATCAAAGAAACAGTATGTTTTGATTTATTTGGAAAGATCAAACTTTTTGGCATAATTTTGGATTGTTTTGGGATTATGAGCATTGATTTTGATATGGGTTTTGTGAATTGACAGGCTTTGATGGCAGAGAAATGGCATTTCACATATAGTACACCGCGAAAAACATTGAGTTGTCGTGATTCTATTTATTTGGAGGATGTGAGTGATTTCAATGAGGTTGAAGCTCCGAATGCTCCAAAACAATCAAAAGTTCCTAGGTCTCGATTGGACGGGAAGAAGCTGACCGACATCTCGGTGGCCTTGTTTGCTTCACCTGATGGAGATCGTTCACCGAGGAGAGAGTTATTTATGGGAATGGAAACAGAGAGATGAAATTGAGTTTCTTGGGGGGTTTTGTATAGGCATTGGCGGTGGGTGTTGTATCAATAGTAATTGATTTCTCATTTTGTTGTACATGTCAAAACAAGCTTTAAAAGCCATTATTCTTTCAACCCTTTCATTGAAGATGGGTGGTGGCTTGAATGTATTTATGTGTACATGTGGAAGAGGCAGTTTAGGGATTTCTTAGGAGAGCTATCTTGGCACTTATGTTCTGTTGAAGCTTGGGTTGTACAGATGAGTCATTTACATATTATAAAAAGATTTTCTCTTTGCTCTTTCTGTGTGAATTTTCTCTACTGTCAAGTCTGTTGTCTTTGCTACATTGTTACAATGCCCAATTTTCTTTTCATTTGCCTTTTGCATACTTCTGGAATCAAAAAATTGCTGTTTTTTAAGCCGATTAGACACCTATCTGGTGGAGTTTCTCTACAAGTGGCTTAAGTCATGAATAATTGTTAGTTTTGAATGAAAAAATTTGTGAACTAACCTAGTAACTCATGACTAAGGAGAATTCCAATTGAGCATTCTCATTCAACAGTCTATCTATCAATGTGGTCTTATTTGGTTCTAATATCCATTCTTTCCACTAGTTCAACCAAAACCGGGACAAAATATCTGATCTGACGGTCTAAACGATAAAATTTGCTCAAAAATAGCTTAGTATAGAGAGTCGGCTCTACATGTAAATAATATACAGTAAAAAGGAATGTTTTCCTCTTGCCTTTCTTTGTGTTTGTTTTCTCTACTGTCAAATATGTTGCCTTTGCTATATAGTTGGAGTGTTTAATTTTTTCTTCATTGTGCTCTGAGTTATGCTTTCTGCATTGACTGGATTATTGCTCTGCCCTTGTCGAATGTGAGTCTTTCCCCAAAATAACTCTCTCTAAAAATAAATTGCGCAAACTTCCCCTGATTTAACACTTGATGAAAAATCTCTCTCTCTCTCGTGGTATGCTATTGTGGTGGTGGTGTTCATATGAATCTATGTAGCTGGATTTGAGTGGTCATGGTCCTCTTGGTTGGTTGGTGCCCAGTGAGATTTTCCCACTTGAAATCCGATCTGCTGCACAAAGCATCAATGTTTCAGTTAACATGATTTTCACATTCGCCATTGCTCAAGTTTTCCTGATGATGCTTTGCCGCCTGAAGTTTTTCTTGTTCATCGTGTTTGCGTTCTTTGTGGTATTAATGACCTTCTTTGTATACTACTTCTTGCCGGAAACTAAGAAAATTCCAATTGAAGAGATGTCTCAAGTATGGCAACAACACGGATACTGGAAGAGGTTTACGACTGATGTAAATGATCCTAATACTAGTGCAATCGAAAGATGCAAGGAAGATGGTATTGCCTACATAGTATGATCAACACTAGAATTATATTTCTGCATACTTGTAGAATTTTCAGACGATTGAAGCGGATAATTTACTAATATATATATATTTTTTTGTTTTTAGTTCATCTCTCAGACAACTGATTGATGATGATAGTCTTTAGCTTTTAATTGTCTTTAGATCTTTATTATCAGTGTTAGTACATATATTGGTTTTAATATAAGGATGTACATAACTTAGATTGGTTTTTATGAATGCCTTCATTTACAGTTTTCCTTTGCTGTTTCAACAGAAATTACTGAAATCAAGACCGAGAATTTCATCCTTATAAGGAATTTCATCATTATAGAGTCGGGGTGGAGGTCTGTTGGGCCAGGTATCTTTCTCTTTGATCGTTATTTCTGAAATAGCATACATCCTTCTTTTGACAAACTCAACTCGTATCATAACAAACTTTTTGAAAACATCCTGCTTTGACATATTGCGTAACCAAAACCATAACGGATAGAATGTGATCAAGACATCAACAGTAGAATGCATATCCATTCAAGGTAAAATCTATTCACTTCCTCTAATTTATATTGAGTCTACCCCTTCAACCTGCTGTCGAGCCAGGTTTCTTTTTCTTCGTTCTTTCTGAAATAGCATACAGAATGGGAAATGTTAGAACAATAATCATAAAAAATAGAGTGGAAAACAATGGCAAGATGTAATCAGAAAAGAAAACTCCTAGTAAAAAAAAGTCGTTCCTAGTGCACAAAGCTTCTGTCTACCGGGAGCCATACTCCTATTTTGAAGGGGCAGAATGCAACTGATGGTACATCGCTTGAGCTGATGAACACTAGTCATCGATTCAAGTCCAACGTCTACAAAATTGTAAATCATACGAGGAGAAATCTCAAGTATAAACATAGCTCACCCATTCAATGATTGCAAGTCCGTCACCAATAATCTTTGGATCTGTGGCTTCTGGAGGTTTCTTGCGGTCTTTAAGAGCAGCCTCAGCCTCAGCCAACTGGCGTTTCAATTTTTCTAGAGCCTGAAAGAAACAGTATGCACAATCTCATTATTCAGCATTCTCCAAGTAAAGGTTGTCATGCATGTCATTAACAATTACATCAAGAAGCATATGCACACAATCACCATTACAAGAACAAGGGCACACATGCAAAATGTACATTATTAACATGTATGGAGAGCAAATTTTCATGCAGATTATACTTACCGGGCTAGGACGTGCAGCGTCCAGAAAAACAACCCTTAATATCTGTTCTACAGCCACTTGATCCTTCTCCTCATCAAACTAAGGCAAAAAGAACAGAGTGGTAAGAAAAAATATTGAAAGGGAGATGATCGGGCCGAGAATACATCAATCAGTAACATTCATGCAACTATAAATTCCACATGAAATTGAAACTTCGCAAGTTTCATAGCCTTGTTTCATAAGAAAATATTTTTCTGCGGTCAAGAAAACATGTAGTGACTACAATAGCTTGCTGCCAGTACAATACATCGACCCATCACTTACGAAATGCATGCCTGCCAAATTTGATGAAGTAAAAAAACCATTTCTGAATGTTGTGAGGGCCACTTTTCTGATAGCTACCTTTGCTAAAAGACCCATTCAACTCGTGATGTTTTATGTATAGTTGCTCCACAGTCATTATATATCTGATGGCAGTAGTAAAATATAATTGAAACAACTAACATAGCTTGAAGCACTAAAAATAATTCACAAGATTGGCTACACTGTAGCATAATAACAAGCAGCAGCAGCAGTCATAAATGTTTATGAATTTTATGATTCAAAAATAATAACCAAGTGTATGACGCACCAGTTCGGGTACATAATCCATTGCTCCTTTCACCTTGAGGCTCATGATTTTAAACTTCACATTGCTCTTTTGATCCGTTCGTTTTTCCATTCGTTTTTCATTATCCTCTGGATGCTCCACAAACTTGAAAACTAGCAGATCCAACGAAACCAGAAAGTGAAACTTGTAAAATACAATTTCGAAAAAAGAAGGAAAAACAAAAAATTTGTATTCTTATGCATGTATGTATATTATGTATCAGCAACTGATACAGAAGTAGAACCATACAAACACATACATACACATATTTTAACCAAAATCAAAGGAGCGCCATTAGCCCAGGTGAAAGTCAATACCAGTCGCTATGAGACTCTCGCCAGGAGCAAGAGCAGCCCCTGGAGGACGCATGAAACAGCTTTTTGGTTCGGTTGTTTGAAACTGAAGAAACACAAGCAAGCAAAACTAATCAGGTGGAGGTAATGAAGATAACTTGACTATGCCATGCTAAGATAGCAAAATTAGAAGAAAAACTGGAAGTCTTTTGGCCACACCTTGAAAGCTACATGAGACTTGCTTGAATTTTTAATCCTAATTGCACTTCGTACTTGCTTACCAGGCTCATCTGGAAGAAACACAAAAAGCAAAAGAAAGAACTTACTGGCAACAAAAACTTAAATCCAGCAAAATCATGTAACCCAAGATTCATCATTGAAAGATGGACATCACATTACAGAAGCAAAAGGAACAAAAAATTTAATGTGTCACCTCTCTCTCTCTCTCTCTCACACACACACACACATTCTACCACTGAATTAGGTCCACGGGCGCCGGAGCCACCCCTCAATTTGGTATCTTCTTCATTTATGCAATCTTTACTGGACCATAATTTTGTTTAAATTCTTACATTTGCACCCCCCTAATTTTTTAATCAATTTTATATTTAGTCCTATTTTTTTATTCAAATTTTGTTTAGGCTAAATGAAAACTAATTTTGTTGTTTCATGTATTAATTTAGTCTTGAATTTTAATATATTTTTCCGTGTTTGGAATTAAAATTTTCTTATATCAACATTTTGCTCATAAGATAAATTCCTGACTTCGCCCCGACTAGGTGGAGACTTTTTTGCGCTTATATTGTCCGTATTGACTCTTGCCCCTTCCAGCACCCTCAGTTGAAGACAGCTAGAGGTGACAAATGAGTAGGTTGAGTTGGTTATGGGTTGAGTTAAATTGGATTAGGCTAAAATAAATTCAATCCATTTTTTACTCATGTAGTAAATGGATTATAGTGGGTTGAATTTATAATTGGTTGGGTTAAACTGATTAACCCAAAAAAAAAATTTTTTTAATAAACATATTAGTACATCAAAACACACACATACATTAGTAGTACACCAAACTACAAACATTTACACATACTAAAACACCAAAACACACACAAACTAATACACTAAAAATATACACTAATACACCAAACATACACACACATATACTAACACAAAAACTAAAATACATTTAATAAAAAAAAATACACAAATAATGGGTCAGGGTGATTGTGGGCTATGGGTTTTGGGTTAACCCATATGGGTTGTGGGTTAACTCATGGATTGCGGGCTGGCCCATGGGTTATAGGTTAACCCATAGGTCATGGGTCAACCCACGGGTCGTGGGTGGCCACATTGGTCATGGGTGGCGTATTAGTGTGTGCTTTTTGTGTACTAATGTGTGTATATTTTGGTGTATTAGTATATATGTATGTATTCTTTGGTGTAATAGTGTGTGTATTTTTTGGTATATTAGTATATTTATTTAATTTTATTACTTGTGTTATTTAATAAAAAGATAAATATTCTCAATGGTTACCCATTTATAATCCATATTAACCCGCTTAATTAAAATAAATAATATTACTCTATCCATTTAGACTCCATATTAATTAATATATGTACCAAACCCATTAATTTATGGGTGGATTGAGCGGATTAATGGATAATGAGTTAAAATTGTCACCTCTAAACACAAGCTGGAGGGTGATCTTTGGTTTACCATATAGCAAAACAACAACACGATAGTATGCCCACGTATTGATCACGTGATATTGTTAAAAGAATGACCTATGGTTATTTTTGTCAAAAAAAACTAAATGAACAGTCATGCCTATTTAAACACGAATTAAATATTTTAGGATTTAAATAAATAAAAATGAGGGGCTTAGGGAGGCCGGTATCTCCTAAAAAACTTAATAGAATAAAAGTAAACTTTTTAAAATAATTGGGATAGAAGTATATATACTAAAAAAAAGTCATAAAAGTCCTTTTGCCCCTACCATAAATAGTGTATACCTAATTAAATGTGAAATTTTCAAGATTAGAATGTGAGATTTTCAAGATTTTTTTTGATATTTGTGTATGATTTGAATTTTGAAATTTTATATATATATATATATATATCTACATACACACATGTAATACAGTGACATCAAACAATGACATGCTCAACAAAAAAATAGAAACATCAAACAGTGACATGTTCAACAAAAAAATAGTAATATCAAACAGTAACACACTCAACAAAAAATTAGTAATATCAAACAGTAACACACTCAAAAAAAAAATAGTAAAATCAAACAGTAACACAAATATTTTTGTTGAGCGTGTCACTGTTTAATGTCACTGTATTACGTGTGTGTATGTATATATATATATATATATATATATATATGAAATTTCAAAATTCAAATGATACACAAATATTAAAAGTAATCTTGAAAGTCTCATATTCTAGTAGGCGTACATTATTTATGGTAGGAGGTAATTATGAAATACATTTTAAAAAGAATTTGAAAATATTTTAAAATATATACTTATTGACAACTATTTGATAAAAAAGAGGACTTAAAAGAGGATAAGTTTGAAAGTGATACTTAAAGTCAAATAAGTTTTGAAAAAGGTATTCACATCCCATTATCTCTAAAAATTAATATAATAAATAGTAAAGTGACAAACCAAAAATACTATTAATCTTAAATCAATTCCATCAGATATTAAATCATCAAAACAATTGAAAAAATCAATGGTGAAAAAAGGCGTACATACATGGAAAATACAGCTTATTTGAAGGGTCAAGCCTCAAACGACGCCATGTGGGAAGAATAGATCTAGCAACGGAAGAGACCGACACCGAGCACGAGCTCGAGCTGTTATTCTGACCATTCGATCTCTCCACCTGCGAATTATTCAGACTCTGTTGCTGTTGGTGAGTACTATGCGACGACGTCGTTGAATGCGAAGCTCCTGAGTTTCGAAATGGTGGCTTAAATAATCTCCAAACTCTTCCGTCCGACGGCGATTTCCTCTCTGCCATCGCCATTTTTTACTCACCGGAAACACACTCTCTCTGTCTCTCTGATCAACCTTTTTAAGTGAGTTTTGAAAGGAATTTGACTGAATTAAGTTCAGGAAATGCAACGGACAACTCTGACGTGAAGGATCAGAGGAACAAACGGTACTTATAGCCTGGGCTTCACACCCGCGTATGTTTTTAGATTGTAATTAATTGGCGGGAGGGAGAGAGAGGAAACGACGTCGTAAGGGGATTAGGTTGGTCAAACCTTCACGGTCATCCATAGTATTATTAGTAAATGATTATTCTCTTTGTTTATTTTATTTTATTTTATTTATTTAATTGTTCTGGTCATGCATCTTTAAATATCATCTTGAATATCGATTTTTTGGTAAAATGGCGTGAGCAAGACGGGTCGGGTTGACGTGGAATGTTGACTATGTAGGATGGGTGATGGATGGAAAGGCATTAAGACCTTCAAGTCTGTTTAGATTTAATTTTTTAAAGGGAAAAAATATGATTTAAAAAGATTCGTAAAAAAAATTTAGAGTTAAAAATATTCTTAAAAAAAATCCTTGCAATATTCCCGCCCCACTTAAACTCCCCCTCTCCCCTCGGTCAGAACTTAGAACTCTCACAATCGAGTCATTTTTTTGAGCACAGAAAATTTTTTAGAGTGCAAAAAAGTGAGTGATTTCTTGATAAGAGGGGCCTATTTTACAATCCCAATTGAGGTGCTTTACTTTGTTAAACATTATGTTTAAATACAAGATTTTTTTTGCATTTAACCCAATAATCTACACTATATATATAAAATAATCAAAATAGGTGGGAGGTGATTTGAGTATTTTTATTTAGATTTTTTTTAGAATCATGATTACTATACATAGTTTTAACCAATTATATTCTAACATATGTCTCTTATAACTACCCCTCTGCCCCCATTACTTAACTACCATCTAACTAATCGACATAGAAACCTCTTCTAGAGGAATTCTCATGAGTGCTTTGGCCTCATACTTTGACTACACAAGCTTCTTCTAGAGGAAACAAACTTCGTCTTTCGGTCTTTCTATATATCTACTTGACCACAACATGGTCTCTCGGGAACCATTCTTTTACGTGCTAATGATATATAGTTTGCTTTTACGAGGTTTGAGTGCATTCATATGCATTCTTGCTTTTGAATGAAAGAGTTTAAGTTGTTTCTTCAAGCTGAAGGGTCCTCGCTGAGTCCCTACCCGCCAGCCCACGGCCTGTGACTGTGAGTCGGGCCAGTCGCTCGTCAGTGTGCCCGGTTGGGCTGGATTGTTCTTTATTTGTTTGTAGCGGACTACCTGCTAGAGCGGTCTTGATGGGCATAATTTCCTTTTAATTTAACGAAAAATTGTGAGTAGGTATTTTGGAGGATTTTTTTTTTTTTTGTAAGGAAAGACCTTGAAAAAAATGTGTCGTAGATAAATACCATTATATTTCAATGTATTATAGAGAGATAAATAATGACACTATTTTTATGCTTTTTACATTTTGGCAGTTGCTTTTTATATGAGATTTGGTTTTATTGATAAGTAGTTTCTTAGTCTAGAAGATTTCTTTTTCTTTTTTTTCTTAAAAAAATTTGGACGTTTAAATTATTCATAAATGACACAAGATCTAAACAAAACTAATGTTTGTTTTGAAACTGGGGTCTTCAATATCTGTAATGTGACATTATAGTGATATATGACAGTGTAACACTTTTATTAATATTTTAATTATCGATAAAAAATTATGAAATTATATTTATTGATTCATACACAATCTAAATAGTATGTATCACATAATGTGATATCTATATTTATATAATAAAGTAATTTACAATTCAAATTTTAAAAAATAAACAAAATAATTTTTACTATTTACGGTTGAGATCGCTTTAAATTTTACTTTAAAGTTAATTTAACGACTAATATTAACACCCAAAATTTAAAAGAAAAAATATGTTCCTAAAGGCGTGTTTGTAGTGACTTTTTAAATGTATTTTAAAAGTTATTTCTCTCATAAATACTTTTAAAAAAAATAGTTTGAAATTGCCCTATCATTACCTCTACCACCACCACCACCACTACCACCATAACCAGCGCCATTACCGTCCCGCCGTCACTATCGTCGTCGTTGCCACCACCATCACTGCCACTATCGTCCCGCCACCACTATCGTCGTTGCCGCCGCCACTACCACTATCACCACTGTCGTCGTCACCACCACCATCATCACCACCGTCGCCGCTCCCCACCGCCATCGCCACAGTTACCATCGTCGTCAGCATCACCACCACGGTTGTCGTCATTGTCGTCGCCGCCTCCGTCACCACCACCACCACCACCACCTCCGTCACCACCACCGTCGCCCCCGCCATCGTCGCCCCCGCCACCGTCGTCGCCACCACCACCACCACCACCGCTATCAACACCACCGTCGTCGTCGCCACCTCCACCGTCATCGCTATTGCCATCGTCGTTGTTGCCACCCCCACCCCCACCGTCGCCGCCACCACCGCCACCACCACGGTCATTGCCACCCCACCACAATTATCACCGTCTCCCACTACTACCACTGTCGCCCACAACCTCTCACCACCATTACAAATCGATGCCTAAATTCATTTATCTTTTCTTTATGTTTGTTATTTGATTTTGAATATGAATACAAATATGTTTGTTGTTTATTATTTTTTATTACTTTGTGCCTTCAGGCACTGACAATAACTAGTATATATATATATATATTACTTTTAATGATAGTGTTACATGACACTATAACAATTCAAAATGACAGTAACTTCAACTAATTAAGGGAGAGATTTTATGGTAGAATTTAAAGTTAATAGAGGGGAAAATAATTGTAGATATGGTCAATTATATACAAACGTATGGAAGATAAAATTCTTAATTTTGGGACCTTGATTAGTGGCCGAATTTTATGGAGATGATGAACGGAGCAAATTCTTAATTTTCCAAGACAGATAACACGTCTGTTCAGTTGCATCTTGATTTGTTAACACGACATACCAATGATACATGGGTTGGGTTGATCACACATTGTTTGGAAGTTGTGGGCTTAATCTACAGCCTGATTGAGGCCCATTTAAAATTCATCAGATATAACCCGATTTTTAGTCCGTTAAACCATAGTTTTAAAATCTGGTCGGGATCGACAGATTGATCCGTACGCCCAATGACTCAGCCACTAAATTAGGAGAATTACATGATTAATTAGATCATTCAAGTAAGAAAACCGGTCAAAACCCATAGAATCAAGCGATTTTTCAGAAAAAACAAAACCCGAACGGTTGAACCCAAATCGATCATTGACTAGTCATCAACCTAATAACCCAACATACAAAAGGTTAATTGATGAGTCTGGTTGGCCCAACCCAATGTTTGCGAAGTTGTTGATCTTTATGCTCCGTTTGGTAAGAAAAATAGAAAGTAAGAGAGATAGAAAATAGGAATGAAACACTTTCTTTCCTTTGTATTTGGTAGTATGGATGTAAAGTAAAAATGATTAATTTTTTTATATTTGATATTAATGAAAAATAAAATGATGAAAAAAAATAAATACATAATATGTAATTGATAAATATGATATATGTATATATCAAATAATATATAAACAAATAACATACATTTCAACACACATAATTAATTTTTCATCTACTTTCCTTCCAATTTTGGAAGGATTGATTTTGATGAGTTGGAAAAAAAACTAATTCATCAACTTTTTTATCCTTCTTATTTTCATCCTTACCAAACAAAATGTTTTATCTATCCCTCCAACTTTCTATTCTTTCAACTTTCTATCCTTCTATTTTTTTAACGCGCCAAAGCATTAATAGGGGAAGTAGACGATAATGTAGGGTTTCGGGTCAAAATTGAACATTTGTAATGTAAAAAGAACCTAGGGCAAATCAAAGTAGATGAATAAAAGATCATTTGACCAACCATTTATTTGCCAGGTAAAGGTGGAAGAGAGCGAAACCTTTTTACACATGATTTTCAACGTCCTTGAATAAGGAAGGCTTCACGGGTCAACTTTTTATTGCAATGTTTTCAAAAAAAAAAAAAAACTTTTTATTGCAATAGTGGTTAGTAATCTTAGTCCACCTAGTTATAGAAATTGAGGTTGCAAGTACAACCAAGAGCCTCATCTTTTGGGATAATGTAAGTCAGAAACCGGAATGTGTTTACACCCAAATTTTGACACGTCTGCGATTCAAAAATATGCAAAACATAAAGAAATAAAGAATGTGTAGGGCAAGGTCTAGGAACATCCAATAAGTAGTTCGGATGAGAAGATTTCACACATAATCATCTCGAAATCTCAAGCTCAAAGTCTCTCATCAAGAGCTAAACTTCAAAGTGTACTTTACTATGTGTGGTTTATGAGTAATTATAAACATTTTGAAGTTACGTTTTTAAGCACGAAACTAAGAAAACATGTGGTTAAAATGATTTGTAATCGTTAATAAAATATGTTTATGAGCGATGTAGACACCTATCTTTTGAAATGGTTAAAATAAAGACAGGCGCCCCTCGAAGAAGCAAAGTAAAATTTATGTAAGTGCTTGCATGCCCAACACATAGGCTATTTTTAGAATAATTAATTAACAAACAATTAAAAATTAATATCCATTTGACCTTAGCCAAAAATCTCACATAATTAAACCTTAATCGCCGACAAAACCTACGACTAAAGAGATAAAATTACATTTGTTGTCACAAGTCGTGATTTGCATACTATTTATATACCGTGGGCTTTCTCTGGTGTGATCATCATAATAAAGAGCTACCGTCTTGCATGAAGACATGTGTTAGGTGACGTTAATTCGAGCAAATATCATGATCAATTTAAGTTTTAAAAAATTGGGAAAAATTAGTAGAAGTCTGACCAATTAGCACACAAGAGATGGTCATACAAAATTTATAGTATATAAGGAATAGGATGAGGGTAGGTCTTCGTGATCTGGAAGTTAGGAGTTTGAGTTGCGAAAGCAACATTTTGGTTTGTAGGAGTAACACTGCGTACATCTAACCTTTTTCAAACTCTGCAATAATAAGAGTCTCGTGTACTAGATACGCTCCATAAAAAATAGGAACTAAATTGACTCATTGAGTGTGTGAGCCAATATAGAAATCTTTTAGCCAATTATAGTGGGGTTGTCTATGAATCAGATTAGTCTCTAGCGATTTAAAGCCGGGCTGGCCAACAAAACACATAAATTTTTTGTGACTGTAACTGTTGGATTTATTCTTTGAGACTCCATTACTTAATATATTATTAAGTCAGTAAATTAAGTTGATAATATTTTTCTACTTCCACATGTTTCAAGGGTCAATATTTAATTGAATTTAAATTTGATAAAAATCAATTATAATCTGATCTCTTACTGTTATCAATTGTAATAAGTAATATCAAAGAAAAAAAAGGTTGTAATAGCTAGGCTCGCAGAATTGTGGCTAATGAGGGTTTATGGAGTCCTTTCACGAGTAATAGTGTTTGAATCTAATTTCTTGATTGAATGCTTCACTCTTATTCAAATAACATCAAACTTCGATATTGATTAGGACCGGTGATGAATTCGATTATTGTAATACATTATTTATTTATTTATTTATTTTTTTGGAGAGGGAGAGGGAGAAGGAGGTTTGAACTTTTAACTTCAAGAAGATAAAATTTTTATAAAATAAAGAATACCATTAAACTAAAAAATCCGTTCATAATTATTTTAATACATTAATTTAGTAAATTATGTTCAAAACTTCAAATAGGGTTTTTCATCCTTTACGTTCTGCTTGTTCACGGATAGTTTAAGTCAGCCCACCCATTAATGCAGCCATGCATGAAGATTGAGAAGCCATGGAGTCCCGCTGTAACACAATAATGTCCAATATAGAAACTTCACTGAAACCATATGTGGCCTTTTGATGTTGAAGACAGGTAATATGAATACAAAAAAGCAATGGAGACACCCTGAAAATGATATATGTCATGTGAGATGTAGAGAGAGAAAAATTACAAGTTTAGAGAGAGAAGAGTGGACAACTTGATGTGATAATTTGGTTTTGATTTTTAATTTTACATGAGAGAGAGAGAGAAAGAGAGAGAGATCGTCATTGTATGCATTCATTAGACGAATTGATGACGAGAGTGTGTGTATTTGGATGAGAGAGAGAGAGAGGGAGGGAGGGAGAAAGAGAGAGAGTCGTGTGAAAGATAATTGAAATTCACATTTTCTCCAAGAAGACGGGACACGTCGCCTCGGAGAGAAACAGTGGACGGCGCCGAATCCCTTTGACTTCCCTCGTATTCTTTTATCCTTCTTCTCAACTATAGTTACTATATATAAGCACTATATAAACCAGAGTACTTTCCATAAGGACCTCTCTCTCTCTCTCTCTCTCTCTCTCTCTCTCTCTCTAACTGTTCAATCCATAAAAACATTTAACTCTAAAAGAAGCTTCATATATAGAGGAAGCTTTGAGACAAAAGATGGGAAGAACACCTTGTTGTGACAAAAATGGACTGAAGAAAGGGCCATGGACCTCGGAAGAGGACCAGAAGCTGATTGATTATATTCAGAAAAATGGGTATGGAAATTGGAGGACACTTCCAAAGAATGCTGGTAATTTTTTCTCCATGGTTATGCCTAGTTATGTTGTTTCTATTTTCATGATTACTTGATAATTACCCCAGTATATCTGGGGTGTGAGACACGGTTTAAATGTATAGGGGATGTCGATAAGTTTGTGATTTTGACACTTTTTATTTTGAGATTTATGTACATACTTTTCTAAACAACAACTAGTCTCACTTAATTCGATTAATTCATTTGAGACGTTTTTTTGTTAACCCCGAGCCAACGAACCATTGTCACCAAATTTGGTGCCTATCATCTTGTTCTGTGACCTTGAACCATGGTGTGGGAAATGACATTATTTTGATAGATTAGGTTGAATTCGAGTTCTCCTTGAGATTGCGCTTGAGGCTCGTGTGTTAATTAAGACTTGATATAATATCTTTATTTTTTTAAGAAATTAAATTTATTTACTCACAAGAAATATTTTGTTCTTGTAATTGTATAGGGCTTCAAAGGTGTGGCAAAAGTTGCCGTCTTCGTTGGACTAACTATCTCAGGCCTGATATCAAAAGAGGAAAATTATCTTTTGAAGAGGAAGAGACAATAATTCGACTTCATAGCATATTGGGGAACAAGTAGGCTGTTCCTGAATAGTCAGAATAAAAGTTTTGTTGAGTTGAGTTATGTTAAAAAATTCGTTTTTGTGTTCTAGAGTTTGATTTTGTATTGTTCTCTGGTTTGTTTGACTACAGATGGTCCGTCATAGCTGCTAAGTTACCAGGAAGAACTGATAATGAAATCAAGAACTACTGGAACACCCACATCAGAAAAAGACTTCTCCGAATGGGGATTGATCCTGTGACCCACAGTCCTCGCCTTGATCTTCTTGGTCTTTCCTCCATTTTCAACTCATCTCAGATCAATATTTGTAGGTTGTTGGGGGTCCAACCCTTGGTTAACCAAGAATTAATAAGGGTACCCACCTCTCTCTTTTCATCAGAACGTGAAGATTCACATTTTTTTGTGCAAAAGAAAGAGCAGTCTAATATACAAGACTCTGGTCACTGTAAAATTTGGAAAGAGTCAGATGCACAGTTTCTCACACAAAAGGATCAACAAAATCAACTTTCCAACCCCCCTCATGTCCAAAACCAATTCCCACCATTACTCCAACCTAGCCAGTTTCAAGAAAAATCGACTCGTACCATGTTGAATACCCCTTATGTTCAGTTTCATGATGAAACCCAACTCTTACAACCCAATTCCGAGCAATTCCCGGTCAACTGCATGCAATCAACCGGCAATTCTCAAATCGATTATCCCCTATTCTGTTTTGATCATGACACCCTACCCCTCGAATCGAAAATTGAGCAATTCTCTTCAACTCTTACCAACTTTAATAACTACCAATATTGCCAACTAAATGAGTGGCAAGGCCATGGAATCGCCTCTAATTTGACAGAAGATTATGGACATGAACATAACTACAGCTGCTACGTGTCCGATCAATCCGCCATGGATCCTCCACCATCGGAGAACTCGAATTTTCAATCCAACAACAGCCACAATTTCAGCTTCCAATCTGTTCTATCAACTTTCTCCACACCTCCATCAAGTCCAACACCATTGAATTCGAACTCAACGTATACTAACAGCATCAGCACAGAAGATGATCATGAGAGAGAAGGCCATTGCTGTAACATGATGAAGATCCAAATTCCAGATGTTTGGGATGTTAATGAATTGTTGTAAATCCAGAAAACCAAACTAATCAAGGGGTTTTTCAATCCTCTGAGCACTGTTTTTTTTTCGTGTTTCTTGTAAAATTTGTTAAGACTTTGTTGCCATTTTCTAATGCTGTATCAGAAAAAACATCATCCATTTGTTTTTTGTATAGTTTTTAAGTCAATGTAGCATTGCTCTTTCATGATTAATGGTAGAGATTAGAATAATCTTTTTTTTTTCCTTTTTTGAAATACCTTACTTTATACTGAGATCAAGTGACGATACCTTGCTGTACAGAGAAACACAAAAAACGAATCATAGACCTTCATCTTCATTTCTATCACCCAGAAGCAATAATATCACGATAATTTAGAATAATAATTTAATGAAAAAATAATATGCATGGATAGACAACCATGGAGTCCCACTCCTGATCATTCAAAAACTTTTATATTTGCTAAATTTTTTTCAATATATTTCTCTATTTCTCTTAAGATAAATTGTCGTTCAAGGGAGAAAGAATTAGTCGAGGTATTTACATTGGCCCAAACACTCTTATCGTTGAACCAAATATATATATATATATATATATATATATATATATATATATATATATATATATATATATATATATATATATATATATATATATATATATATATATATATATATATATATATGTTAGTTATTTTTTGTGCCTGAAGACATGGAATAATAAAAAAAATGGTCAGCAATAAACATATTTGTATTCACACTTAAAATTAAATCACAAAGATAGAAAAGATATAAAGGAATATAAACACCAGCTGTGGTGGGAGTGAGCAGTGGTAATGGTGGTGGGTGGCAATGGTGGTGGTGGGAGACAGTGATGGTTGTGGTGGATGACGATGACCGTTGGTAATGTTGGCAACCGTGTATGGCAACAGTAATGGTGATAGTGGTGATGGTGGTGGTGGGGCAGTGGGTGTGGTGGGGTGGCAGCAGCAGCGGTGGTGGTAGTTGTAATAGAGGTGGTGGTGTTGTGACGGTGGTGGTGGTGATAGTGATGGTGGTAGAAATGGTGGCGATAGTAGTGGGGCGATGGGGTGGTGGTGAGATGGTTCTAAAATACTATTTTTTTTAAAGTATTTATGTGAAATTATAAGTTTTAGAAGCATTTTTAAAAAGTTATCCTAAACACACCTTTAAGAGCCTATTTTCATTATTAAATTTGAAGTGCTAATATTAACCGTCGGATTCACTTTAAAATAAAATTTAAAGAGATTTCAACCTCGAAAAGCAATAGTCATTTTGTTTATCTTTTGAAATGTGAATTGTAATGTACTTTATTATATAGATATACAAGTTATTTCTTATACCTAAAGGCATGGAGTAATAAAAAGAAAGTCAACAATAAACATATTTGTATTCACATCCAAAATCAAATTACAAAGATAAAGGAGATAGAAAGAAATTTAAACACTGATTGTAGTGGGGGCTAGCGGTGGTTATAGTGGTAGGGTAAGCGATGGTTGTAGTGGTGGAAGACATTGATAGTTATGATTAGTGATGACCACTAATTGTAATGGTGATAGTCATGAGTGGCAATAGTGATGGTAGTGGTGGGGCGGTGGGGGAGGTAGGACAGTGGCGGTAGTAATAAGGTGGCGACAGCGATGTTGGTGGTGATAGTGGGGATAGTGGTGTTGGGGCACTGGTGGGGTGGTTATAGGGTGGCGACAGTGGTGGTGGTTGTAAGGTGGCGACAATAGTGGTGATGGCGGTGGTAGGACAATGGAGGTGGTTGTAGTTGTCATGGTGGTTGTGGGGGCAGGTCGGTGTGGTGGTCTTGGGGGTTGCAACAATGGTAGTTGTGGTGGTGGTGGTTGTTATGATAGACATGGTGGTGTAGTGGCGTGACGGTAGTGGTGGCAGTGGTGATGGTGGTTATTGTGGAAGAGGTGGTGGTAAGGTGACGACAGTGGTGGTGGGGCGATGGGGGTGGTAGTGGAGCGATGGGTGGGGTGGTGGCGACAATTATGGTGGTGGTTGTTGTGGCATATGTGGTGGTGTGGTGATGGTGGCGATAATTATGATGACAGTGATGGTGGTGGTGGTGTGGTGACGATAGTTGTGATGGTAGTGGTAGTGGTGATGATTGTGGTGGTGGTGTGGAGTAGTTGTGGTGGTGATGTGGGGTAGTTGTGGTGGTGGTGGTATAGGGTAGTTGTAATGTTGGGGTGACGGTGGTGGTGATAGTAATGATGGTGGTGGTGGTGGTGAGGTAGTTCTAAACATTTTTTTTTTAAGTACTTATGAAAAATTATAAGTTTTAGAAATACTTTTAAAAAAATATCTCAAACATATCCTTAGGACTTATTTTCTCTATTAAATTTGAGATGTTAATATTAGTCATCGGATTAATTTTAAAATAAAATTTAAATAAATTTTAACCGCAAAAATTAAAAGTCATTTTATTTATCTTTTAATATTTGAATTGTATTTTATTTTATTATATAGAAGATAGACAATCTTGATTTTTTTTGCCCGTAAAACAAAAATTTTAGAGGGGTTATAGATGCATTAAAAAAGAAGTGATGATTTGTTTTTATTTAATATTTATTTTATGTATTTTCTATACATTATGTGGTAACTATAGGTTGTATTATTTTTTATTTTTTAATCCATAATTATAAATAATTTAATTTAAAATCAATGGTCTTTATTTTTGGGGCACGGTAACATAGTCTTAACCGGTGCAATAAAAGTAAAACAAAGCGGCTAAAACTTAACGAAGGGGGTTGACTTGGATAGGCACGTGTCGATGTTTCAACGGTGGATAATGTTTGGGACCACTTGAAAAAGGTTTCCTTTTTTAAAAAAATCATCCAGTTCTTGTGCTAATATTTATCTTTTTTTGTCGTCGCTTGAAATACTGTTGGAATGGTCAAACCTTTTATAGCTTGAATTGGTGACGTCAGCTTTAGGGACACGTGGACTCAATCATGCACAAGTGGTTTGGAGGCCTGGTGATAAAAATCGATTTCGGACCGATATTTATTATTATTATGAATATTTTTATTATTATTGTAATACTGAAAAAATTGATGAAAATAATTATCACAACATGTTGATCGGTTGGCGTGCGGCTCAAATAGTTTATAATCAAACAATACACAAAAAAAACATAAATATTCTCAATCAATTGTTGTGGATGTACACTGTTCTCTCTTTCTATTCTCTATCTAATATAATTTTTTATAATTTAATTTAAAAAAATTATTCAAATTCAAATTCGACTTGAACGCTTGCAAATTTATGTAAATCTAAAATTGAAGAAGAATTTATGTTTGATGATCTAACTTGATTAGTCAGATTCAACCAAATTTAAATAGGAAAAAAACTAGGTTATCGAAAAGAAATTGTTGTAATCGATCTGAATAAACTCAAGTAATCATAGTTTTAGTTTAAAAGTTATATTCTTTATTATAAATCATTGCTCTTTGATCTAACTTTAAAACAGTAGTAATACGCGATTCAATACCATAGTCATTTTCATTTAAATAGACTCAAACTCAAGATGAATAATTTCCATTGACAACACAAAAAGTTTGTTGTTATTGTCATCCGACAAACAAACTAACAAACAAATATGAAATGTTAGTCATCGGAAGAAACATACTACAAATGATTGAGTCATGGGAAGAAACAAATGATTGGGTTATTGCAATTATTGTGTGATAAAGAGGTAAAATTAGTGTTGTGCTGTATCAAAACTTGTAATAACAAAGATCAACCACATCTCATTCACGTCAATTAATCGCCGACTTCACCAGACTCTCAACTTTATCTTTATTTGCATGTTAATCCCCAAGCACGTCACCAATACGTCAAATGAATATCTTTCATATCCAAAGTCGACGCTTAATTCATTCATGCTTGCCATGTATACATAGAACTTCAAACAGAAGAGATTAACTTGTCAAAAGTTTTACGAAACTCAATGGTTACGGCACCTAGCGTTGCTTTCAGCTGACCACGGCGAAGTCTCTCTCTTTCTTTCGTCTTCGACCGCCCAAAGAAAAAGCACTCAGAAGCTTTGAATGTATGAGTCCAAAAGTGGGTGTGGGTTTATGTCTTTGCTTGTGTTTAATATATATTTTGTTTGTTTGTTTCTCTATTTATTCATTGCTTCTGTATCACATTTCACCATGTAAAGAAAATGTGTTCACAGCGAAGAAATTGTGTGCAAAAGAAACTGGGAAATGGGACCTAGCCAGGTGACTTTTTAGCTAGTAATGTCATAATGTCCTCGTTGACAATGTTGTTGTTTGATAAAATTATAAACTAAACATTGAAAACTGATGAATATTGCCATTAAATTCACTTCACTATCCGTATCACAATTGCTGCTACCACCATCATATCAACCGTTGTACCAACTTTGCCACTATCACCTATTGCTGCTATCCTCACCCTATCAATTATTAGATAATTATTACTCTAAAAATTTAAGTTATTAGAGATGAAGTAACTTAATTATTTATATTTCAATACGTCCTCTCACGTGTAAGCTAAATTTTGAACCTAGGACGTAAAGATCTTTTTAATCATTAGGGGGACATTTAGATTTGAATATAGAATCTTCTACTTTGATACCATATCAAACAACTATCTACTCTAAAAATTTAAACTGTTGAAAATGATATTGATAATGCACAAATGTGTTTATGCAAAATTAATCAGAGATGTGGTGGTGTATGTGATGGGCTATGCTCAACACAATAAAAGACACAGATTAAGTGATTCGATCTTAATGACCTACCATAAGGCCGACGTTATCCTCGTAACGGGCGAGGTGATTGGTGATACGCATCCAGATAATAGATTGATTTTTCAAGACGGTGCGTTTGACCCAATTGAAATTTTGATGAACTTTTGTTGGCTGCATGTGTGATCTGCGCCTGGAAGTGTGATTTGGGCTTGGTCTAGGTCGGACCCATCAGGTGTAATTTAAGTATTTATCTCCGGACTAAACTTTGGGTCTAATACATGAATTTTTTTTTAATCATTGGGGTGATAA